TCCGGGCCCAGCAAGTCTTTTAAAAAAAATCTGCCATGCCTGCAGTTGCCTCCTTTTCTCTTCCCCAGTAGTGCTACCTCTTTTTTTTGGGGGGGGGGGCGTAATTCTCTTTTAAATTTATATTGTAGGTTTACAGTTCTTTTATTTAATTGACATCCTACTTTGATTTACTGGGCAGGGAAAGATAAAAATAGGACAAACCAAGAATTGAGAGGACTGTGGTGGAGATGTACAGGACTTGATGAAAGGCAAGCATATCACTTTTTGATTTAGTATAACTTTCTTTCTTTCTTTCTTTCTTTCTTCCTTTCTTCCTTTCTTCCTTTCTTCCTTTCTTCCTTTCTTCCTTTCTTCCTTTCTTTCTTTCTTTCTTTTTTTGGCAGATGAATGTTAGCCGTGTATTCCTCTAAAATAAATGCTTTTAAAAAGTTTATTTTCAGAATGACAGACATACCAGAGAGAGAAAGATCTTGATCAAATGGTTCGTTCTCCTGCTGCCCACAATTCATTTGGGTTTTCTTTGTGCGTAGTAGGGTCCCAAGTCCTTAGGCTATTATGGGCTGCCTACTGATTGCTTTAGCAAGGAACTAGATCCAAAGTAGAGCACAATCGACATACTCTCAAGTAGTGAAGGAATCTTGGCACCCCAAGCAGTGAGTTGGCCACTACACTGCAATACCACCTTTAAGCACAAATTTTTCTTTTTCTTTAAAGAGTTATTTATTTATTTAAAAGGCAGAGTTAGGGTCCCGGCGGCGTGGCCTGATGGCTTAAGTCCTCGCTTTCAATGCACCTGCAGCCATCTGGAAAGTGAACCAGCTGACAGAAGATCTTTCTCTCAGTTTCTCCTCTCCGTGAATGTGATCTAGCTTTCCGATGAAAGTGGACGTATCTCCTTTTTCTTTCTCTCAAGGATTCAGGTTACAACACTGGGTTAAATTCTGGCCTCTGTCTCCTGGCTCCAGTTTACTGCCATTTGGCACCCTGCGTTGTGCTAGGTTCCTGTTGCCCAGGTGGGAGATTGCGTTTCCAACTGCTGACTTTGACCTAGGCCCAGCCATGGCCATTGGTGCCATTTAGGGATTAGACCAGTGACTGAAAGTTCTCTGCCTTTCAAATAAATTAGTTAGGAAAAAATCTTCTAAATTCCTGTTTGGGAATGTGCTTCATACCAGTCAACCAAGACACTTCTCATTTTCTTGTATTGTAGACCACTGAGGATAGATTTCTGTCATCGTGGAATGTGTTCCTCCTTTCCAGCATCCAACAACGCTAGGATGGTCCCTTAGACTGGGTCATCACATTCAGTGTCTCCAAGATTAGAAGGATAATACACTTATTTCCATAGGAAGTGATGTTAATGTTAGCTTGGACATGCTCATGTTTCTTCTAGTTGAGTTAGAAATCCAGATCTTGACTGGATTCTAACCATTGTTACTGTATTAAACACCTTTATGTGCAGCAGTAGGTGCAGTTTAGATATTATCTCAAATCGTAATCGCTTTCTTTTTCTTTTTTTTTTTTAATATTTATTTATTTATTTATTGGAAAGTCAGATATACAGAGAGGAGGAGAGACAGAGAGGAAGATCTTCCATCCGATGATTCACTCCCCAAGTGACCCTAACGGCCGATGCTATGCCAGTCCGAAGCCAGGAGCCAGGAACTTCTCCTGGTGCAGGGTCCCAAAGCATTGGGCCATCCTCAACTGCTTTCCCAGGCCACAAGCAGGGAAGTGGATGGGAAGTGGAGCTGCTGGGATTAGAACCGGCGCCCATATGGGATCCTGGCACATTCAATGCAAGGACTTTAGCTGCTAGACCACGCCGCCGGGCCCATATCTTACATTGGTAGTCTTTTTATCACTCATTTTATATACGTTGAAAACAAACTCCAGAGACATGACATGACTGCTAGAGTTTGTGTCAGTTGTGAATAATCAAATAAGGATTCAAGCCAGATCACTCCATCTGCATACCTTTAGTTTGTCTGTCTGTCTTTCCTTCTCTTTCATTCATTCATTATGGAAATAGGAGGTTTGATGCTAGTTTTTGGGTGGTAAACCAGAGATAGCTCGTGTCATCTCTACACAATGCTTGTAACTAGGTTTTGCTCACTACCTAAGACCATACAGTTAATAGTTTGCATTTTGGCTCATGGAACTTTTTGATTCTGCCAAGTGCTGAATGTTAAAAACACATCTCACTCCTAAGCCCTCCCCAGGCCTTTGGCGCTCTTGCTGTTAAGGCAGGTGGTCTGAAGAAAGGCTCCCTCTTGGTTGTGGCACACTGCACACAACAGACAGCAGTGCGAGACAACTGTCAGTTCCTTCCTTCCCTTCTCTGCCACCCCCTCCAGAAAACTGGGCCCCAGATGGAAGAGCTGGAAGCATGTCAACTGTTCCCTGACGGGCACTGAAAGAATACTGCCAGGGAGGAAAAGGCAAGCGCAACAGCTTATTAGGCAGCACAGCCATCATCTTCACAAAGACAATGTCCTGAACAGAGAAATGGGAAGACCAGTGTTGTCACGTGGTGTTCAGAGAACTGTGTTTTTCTTGGGGGATTTGTAACTTGTGAATGTTGCTTCACTGATTGACTTTCTTTATTCATCATGTTCTTTTCTAAAATGTGATTGCTACAAACTGAAGCATAGAATATAACATTTGAGGGTTTTTTCCTCATTAGCGTTGTATATAGGCAAAAATGATGCTTTACTGCCAGTATCTTGAATACTTTAATGTATATTTTCTTGATAGCTGTGGCTTCAGAGAAAGAAAATTGACCTTGTTACCCATTTCTAATACTTTAAATTGATTGCTGTAGTTACTGAAGAATTAAAGTATGCTATTTAAATAGAAAGCTTTGTGTTGCTAAAGGAATTCAGAATATCACTTTTCACATGGCTGGCATTGTGGCTGCTATTGTTGTGGCAAAACAGATTAGGCCACCACCTTTATGGACATCCTACATGGGAACCAGCCTAGGCCTGACTGCTCCATTTCTGAGTGCAGGTCCCCACCTCCCAGATGGGGGACCCAGATGAAGCTCCTGGCTCTGGTCTGGCCCAGCACTGTCTACTGGGGCTGTCTGGGGTGTGAACCAGTTGCTTAGCAAAGAAAGTCTCCCTCCTTCCTTCCTCCTCCATTTTTATCTCTTTTTCCTCCCTCCCTCCCTCTCTCATACTTTAAAATAACTAAATAAATCTTTAAAAAATGAAGAGAGGGCCCGGCGCAATAGCATAGTGGTTAAAGTCCTCGCCTTGCACACTGGGATCCCATATGGTCTCCGGATCTAATCCTGGCAGTCCTAATTCCTCCCATCCAGCTCCCTGCTTGTGGCCTGGGAAAGCAGTCGAGGACGGCCCAAAGCCTTGGGACCCTGCACCTGTGTAGGAGACTCGGAGGAGACTCCTGACTCATGGCTTTGGATTGGCTCAGCCCCAGCCATTGTGGCTGTTTGGGGAGTGAATCATTGGACAGAAGATCTTCCTCTCTGTCTCTCCTCCTCTCCGTAATATCTGCCTTTCTCATAAAAATTAATAAATCTTTTCTTATAAAGATTTATTTATATATTTCTAAGATTTATTTTTTATTTTTATTGGAAAGTCAGATATACAGAGAGGAGGAGAGACAGAGAGAAAGATCTTTCATCCAGTGATTCACTCTCCAAGTGAGCACAACGGCTGGTGCTGTGCAGATCCGAAGCCAGGAGCCAGAAACTTCTTCTAGGTCTCCCACACGGGTGCAGGGTCCCAAGGCTTTGGACCATCCTTGACTGCTTTCCCAGGCCACAAGCAGGGTATTGGGTGGGAAGTGGAGCTGCTGGGATTAGAACCGGTGCCCATGTGGGATCCTGGGCGAGCATTCAAGGTGAGGACCGCAGGTGCTAGGCCACGCCACCGGGCCCAAAAATAAATTAACCTTTAAGGAAAAAAAAACTAAAATAAAAAATGAAGAGAAATGTCACTCTTGAGCATCAAGTTTTACTCATATTAGTGCAGTTTTAAGTCTAATATCATTAGGTTTCGTATGAGTTTTCCTTCTGGAATTTGTGACCAGACTGGTATAAATGGTTGCCTCTATAGCTGGAGTAGCCTATACTAAATTTAGAATCAGTTCTACTTTTTATCTTTTTTTTAAATAATATGCATCATAAATGACGTTTCTTTGCATGATATTAGCAATGTGATCAAAGTCACATATGTGTTTCTTATTAGGGCAGTTGAGACATAAAGAAGTAATAGCAATATGCCACTCAGTGGAGGCTCCTGGTTCTGCAGTTTGAATTCCCACCCCCACCTCCTGCTTATTTGCTTCATTAATAAGGAAATATGGGGAAAAGAATGCCTTTGAAATGTGTAGCCTTTCTCAGCCACTGTCCAAACTGTTAACTTTCAGTTTTGTACGCCTGAACTTGATCCTTTGTCTTAATGTCCGAATTAACAAAACAAGAGTACCACCTGGATGGCTGAAGACAAGAGAAGTTTATTTTCTCATAGTTTAGTTGGTTGAAAGATGTCCAAAATCAAGGTCCCAGTAGGACTGAATCTTTGGGGACCTCACAGTGAGGAGCTGCTCTGTGCTGTCCTGTGTTTGGTGATGCTGTCGGTGGTACTGCTCGTCCTGCCGTGTCTGCGTCTCATCAGGTGACAGGCTCAATCCATGGTGGGCTACATGCTGGCTTTCCTTTGTGTGGCTCTTCATGAAGGGCTGACATTCCATGGAAATTAAAGCCCACACAGATAATCCAGGAGGCTCTCTCATCAAGAACCTCACCTGGTTGAGTCTTCAAAGACCCTTTTCCCAGATAAGCTACAGACACGGTTTGAGAAGTTGGGATGTGGACATACCTTTCCCTGAGGGGTAGGGAGTGGTTGTCACTATTCAGCCCAGTTAAACTAGCTATGTTCTTAACTTCTAGGACAATATTTTAGTATTTCTTTTATCATTTTTATGATCTTGCAGAAAAGGATGATCTCCATTTCTTTTATTCTCTGTAGTTGGTCCTGAGAAGAGGGTGCCAGCAATGCCCGGATCGCCTGTAGAGGTGAAGATACAGTCAAGAGCCTCGCCTCCCATCATGCCACCCCTCCCACCGGGAAATCCTGGAGGACCGCGACCAGTGTCCTTTACTCCTACAGCATGTGAGAGTTCTTAATTACTTGGGTTTGTGGTTCAAATTGTTATTTGAATTTAAGTGACTGAGTTCAATGAAATCTTCAAAATATACTATTTAACATTTTTAAAGCACTAATAAAATGCATGACTAGATGAGTATAGATTTTATTGTTTCCTACTTTTATAGATTGCTGGGATAGGTGTTTGGTACAGTGGTTAAGGCACCATTTATTGGGACTGATGCAATGGCTCAACTGGTTAATCCTCTATCTGTAACTGTCAGCATCCCGCATTGGCACCAGTTTGTATCCTGGGTGCTCCACTTCCTGTCCAGCTCCCTGCTTGTAGCCTAGGAAAGCGGTAGATGATGAGCCAAGACCTTGGGACCCTGTAACTGCATGGGCTCCTGCCTCCTGACTTTGGATCAGCTCAGCTCTGGCATTGTGGCCGTTTGGGGAGTAAACCAGTTGATAATTGCCTCAGTATCTCCTTCTCTCTATAAATCTGCCTTTCCAATAAAAATAAATAAATCTTTAAAAGAGAAAACAGACCGTTTATTTAGGACACCCTCGTTCCATATCAGAGGGTCTGAGTTTGAATCCCAACTCCACTCTGAATGACAGCTTCCTCCTAAAGAGCGCCTGGGAGCTGCAGCTGGTGGTGCAGCTGGGGGAGCTGTGCCAGCTGTGTGCAGTCCTGACTTCAGCTCCCTGACTGCTGTGGGCTTTTAGGAGTAAATCGGCAGATAGGAACTCAGTTTTTTGGTTTTTTTCCCCTCTGCCTCTCAAAATAAATATTAAGGAATTGTTTTTTTCCCTCTGAGAATAGTACTTAGGTGTTTGAAAAATAAATGCCTAAATACTTTCTTTTCATGTTGTTTAGTTAGTATTTTCTTTCTTTGACTCTAGCAATGTGACTTTAAATTTCTCTGTTGATCTGTAAGATTCAAAGTATGTTTCATAGAGGCTGGTGTTATGTGGCACAGCAAGTAAAGCCACCATCTGGTACACTGGCATCAAGTCCAGGCTGCTCCACTTCCAGCTTCCTGTTGTAGTCTGGGAAAGCAAAGGAGGATGGTCCATAGCCTTGGCACCCTGTACCCATGTGGGAGACCCAGAGAAGGCTCCTGGCTCCTGGCTCCTGGCTCCTGGCTTCAGACTGGCTCAGCACTCTCTGTTGTGGCCACTTGGAGAGTAAGGCAGCAGATGGAAGATCTTTGTCTCTTCTTCCCTTTGCAGATCTGCCTTTCCGATAAAAAGTAAAAAAATGTTTTAATAAAGTTCTTGGGCCTGGCGTGATAGTGTAGCAGTAAAAGTCCTCGCCTTGAATGCGCCAGAATCACATATTGGCCCCGCTTCCCTTCCAGCTCCCTGCTTGTGGCCTGGGAAAGCAGTCGAGGACAGCCCAAAGCCTTGGGACCCTGCACCCACGTGGGAGACCCGGAAGAGCTCCTGGCTCCTGGCTTCGGATTGGCTCAGCTGCAGCTGTGTGGCCACTTGGGGAGTGAACCATTAGTTGGAAGATCTTCCTCTCTGTCTCTCCTCCTCTCTGTGTAGCTGCCTTTCCAATAAAAATTTTAAAACATCTTTAAAAAATAAATAATATTTGCCAGGCAGAGTTTTATACAGGGTTAGCCTAGAATTTTCCCTCTCTGTCTCTCCTTCTCCTGTTAATCTTTCAAATAGAAAACACAGTAACAACAGAGAGAGGAGAGGCAGATTTTTCCATCCACTGGTTCACTCCCCATGTGATCACAAAGGCCAGAGCGGAGCTAGCCTGAAGCTAGGAGCCAGGAGCTTCTTTCAGATCCCCCTTGCAGATGCAGGATCCCAAGGCTTTGGGCCATCTTTGACTGTTTTATCTGGTCATAAGCAGGTAGCTGGATGGGAGCAAGAGGATCCGGAACACAAATAGCACTCATATGAGATCCCAACGGTTGAAAGGAAGGATTAGCTAATTGAGCCACCACACCGGCCTCAAGTATTTTCTTAAATGACCAAAAATTAGCAGTATTAATCCAGTGCCCTCAAGACAGAAAAACTGACTTTGATGAATTTGGATATTCTGAATCATCAGAGAGTTCTATACTCACTATAATAACAGGTCATTATGTCTGGTCTTTAAAAAGCTCCTCCACATTGTCTGTCTGAGCTGGTTCATTGCCTTGGCACCCTGACATTGGGACGGAGATGTAATATAAAATGGCACAGCTCTCCACTTGCTGGACACCCTTACCTGAAGCTCCCTTACCTGGGAGTTCCCCAAGGCTGCCCACACCACCCACTTCCTTCTCTTCGCTCCTGTAGCACTCTACACTTGTGTTTTCATGTGGTTGTGTTACTTTGTTACCTGCTCTTTCTTGACAGTTTGTCTCTTATCAATCTTGTTCAGCACAGAAATGGAGTCCTTGTTGCTCTTTGAACTTGGGGTTTACACAATCCAAATGAATAGGCCGAGAGCAAGGGCCTTAGTGTGTTGTATTTAAACTGGGTCTCTGACTTTGTTTCAGTAAGCAATGGAATCAACCATTCTCCTCCTACCCTGAATGGGGCCCCGTCACCACCACAGAGATACAGCAATGGTCCTGCCTCTTCCACCTCATCTGCACTAACTAATCAGCAGTTACCAGCCACTTGTGGTGCTCGGCAGCTCAGCAAGCTCAAACGATTTCTTACAACTCTGCAACAGTTCGGCAATGACATCTCACCTGAGATTGGGGAGAAGGTGCGAACACTTGTTCTGGCACTCGTGGTAAGTACGACATCTCTACTGATGATAGCCTGAGTAGGTGCACCTGGATCTGAGTTCCGCAGAACTAGATTAATTGTGATATAAATTTTATGTAACCGTTGAATTGCAGATTTTGTTGTAATATTTTCAAGAAACAAAATCCATTGTCACCTCATTGGTTAAGATGATTTAATTCCAATAAGCAGCTTTAGGGTTTTTTTTTTTAAATATTTATTTTTTATTGGAAAGGCAGATTTACAGAGAGAAGGAGAGACAGAGATCTTCCATGCACTGGTTTACTTCCCAGTGCCGCAAGAGCTGAGCTCAGCTAATTCAGAGCCGGGAGCCTCTTTTGGGTCTCCCAGCGGATGCAGGGTCCCAAGGTTTTGGGCCATCCTCGACTGCTTTCCCAAGCACAAGTAGGGAACTGGAAGGGAAGTGGAGCAGCTGGGACACAAACCAGCACCCGAATGATATCTGGTGGTTGCAGGGCAAGGAGTTAGCCATAGGCCAGGCCCAGCTTCAGTTGTTTTTTTTTTTTTTTTTAATTTAAAAGAATAAGGAGGAGGGGCATGGGGGAATTGTTAAGAGAGAAATCTTCCATCTACTGGAATGACCACAATGACCAGGTTTGGGCCAGACTGAAAGCAGGAGCCCAGAACTTCTTACTGGTGTTCTCGCATGTGGTCTTGGGCCGAAGCATTTGGGTCTTCTTATGCTGCTTTCCTAATGGGAGGCTCTTTAATGGGCAGCCGGCACTCAGATGAGCACTCCAGCATGGGGGACTGGCGTCGCAGGCTGTGGCTTAACTCGCCTTGCCACAGTATTGGCCCTTGGATCTGACTTAAACAATTTCAACAAGCCTGCTGGGGTCCAGCCAAGTAAATTCTAGGCTTTGTAACCTATTGTATTTAGCACTAGGTGTATTGTTTCCAAGTATCAACCTGCTTAACAATGAAAATAATAATTTATGAAAGCACAGGTTTCGTGGTTTAAGTAAATAGCAGCAGACATCTCATTATTCCATTCCTGTGTCTAGCTTCTGTAGAATTTTCAAAATATTATATATTTTTTTCATATACCAAGCATGGTAAGCCTGTGATACAAAGCAGTGATTTTCTGATATTAACAGCTGAGTAGGATGTGACTCTCAGTGTTTCTCTTATAAAGCATTGCCAATTCCCAATGTGTATAAATTAGATGTTTTCAAGATGTGCCTCGAGTAACAGCATCCAGTGCGCCTTCCTGCATGTTTTGCTCTGTATGTGTTAAAGAGCGGTTAATCACAGTACCAGCTCTTATGTTGGAGTTCTCAGTGTGTGGTCAAGAACCCCTCAGGATTCCCCCAATATCCTTTCCTAGGAGTCTAGACTGTCTTGGCTGTTTTCATAGAAATACCATGATATTACTTGCTGCTAATTTCCTCTTATTCTTTAATGTGTATACAATATAATATTGTATGAGCTGCATGCCATGGCATTGTGACAAGTTAAATGCATAAACAAATGACAAATTCTAACTGTTCTTTAATTTACTAGCTATTATGTCTTTGCAACACTAATGTAAAACAGTGTTCCTCTTCTTACTACATTTCTTATGGGAAATAATTTTTTAAATTGTATTTTCTTTTTGGTGCTATTTACATAGTCAGCAAGAATGTTGGCCCATAATAGGATGGGGAGGGTCAAGATATGGGGGAAGGTGGGTGGGACAGATGCTTTCGATTTCCCTTTTCTTCTCTTTGCTCCTGTATGAGAGAGGAGGAGGGGACTGGTCCCAACTGCCAAACTACATCAGTACCCTGAGATGGGGATGTCCACTTGATGTCATCTTAGAAACCCTGTCTTGCCTTGGCAGCATTTGCTGGTAGGTGTTGCAGCCTAGCACAGTCCAGCGCAGCCAACCCCCAGTCCCAGCCCTAATGGGAACCAGAGGATATTGCATCTAAGCCCATCCTGTCCTGGCCTCCACCCCATCCTGACTCTTGCACCTGCCAGCAGTTATTGCAGCCCAGCACAACCATTCACAGAGCTGACTCAACTTTATGCTGACAGGTGGTTACTCTGGCCTGGCCTGGATTGTCCCGATCCTGGGTTCTCATGCTCATCAACTGGGGCTGCTGTCTTAACAGAGATGTTGCCCAAGCTGCCCTGTCACACCAGCTGCTAGTTGTAAATCTCACACCAGTGGGTGTTTGGCTCAGCCTGGCTTGGACAATCTATAGTCCTAAAATTCACTTGTGATACTGCAGCCTTGCCAGATCTGCCTACACCCATTCTCATTCTCACCAGGGCTGCTGCAGCCCAGCTCTACCGACCCAAGTGTTTTGTGGATTGATGGGTGCTACTATGTTGCTCAGCCTATCCCAGTCTGACAGCAGGGAGCTGAATGGGAAGCAGGGCTACAAGGATTAGATCCAGTGCCCATATGGGATGCCGGCGTGTGCAAGGTGAGGGCTTTAGCCACTAGGTCACAGTGCCGGGCCCTATGGATTAGACTCTTAAGACAATGTGGAGTAAATACTCATAAACTCCCATTTAGAAAATACAGAGGGCCCAGCGGCGTAGTCCAGTGGCTAAAGTCCTCGCTTTGAACGCGCCGGGATCCCATATGGGCACCAGTTCTAATCCTGGCAGCTCCCTGCTTGTGGCCTGGGAAAGCAGTCAAGGACGGCCCAAAGCTTTGGGACCCTGTACCCACATGGGAGACCTGAAGAAGTTCCCGGATCCTGGCTTTGGATCCGCACAGCACCTGCCGTTGCGCTTATTTGGGGAGTGAATCATTGGACGTAAGATCTTCCTCTGTGTCTCTCCTCCTCTCTATCTATCTGACTTTGTAATAAAAATAAATAAATCTTTTTAAAAAAAAGCTAACATAGAAAGATAGCATGAGATGGACAGAAGCGGGTTAAGTCAGGAAATGTCCTTAAGTTGACATGTTAGGGTGAGTTAGGACCTTTTCAGCGGGAAACAGTTTAGCTTGATTCCTTGTCAGTAACAGGCTTTTGGATGAGCCCTCCAGGACAGGTGGACCTCAGTGTCTGCATGAGTGGTGAGGAAGGTGGTGCTATATTCCCTGACCCAGGGCACCCAGCAGAGGGGAGAATTTGTGCTCAAGTAGGGCCAAGTACCTTTAATAAAGGAAACAATTTCATTAACCTTTAAGGATTGAGTTCCTAAGATTGCTCTGGGGTTTTTTCCTTTGTCATTTGAAAGGATTCAGCACTGTAAGACAGTGTCCAGACAGAGTCCAGGTTTGGAAACAAACAATGTTATTTATCTTTTCAGAACTCAACAGTGACAATTGAAGAATTCCATTGTAAACTCCAAGAGGCCACAAACTTTCCTCTTCGTCCTTTTGTGATTCCGTTTCTGAAGGTAATTCTAGATTACTGCTGATTATAGCTTGTCTTCAACCTTTCCTCCAGATCTACTGCTACCCATTCTAGGGTTGAAATCAAGATCAACTGGCCATACTTTCCTGATTATGATTTTTTGGGGGTTGCTAATAATGTGTGAGTGAATTTGCAGATGAGCTTCATGCTTAACTGAGACATGCAGGAGCCTTTTAAGTTGGGTGTAGGCAGAAATGCAGGAAGTGCAAGTAGAGGAAGGAGTTGGAGGTGTTGAGATAGCTGTCTGGGGCAGTGTGGGCTCCCAGCGAAGGAATAACCTTCTACTCAGTCCTGTGGGAGGAGGCTGGCATCTGCAAGAAACTTCTGCAGTTTGCACCTCCCCATGGCAAAGGTGCAGAGCGTCACAACTGCCAAGGGTCATTTGATATTTATAACGTCATTTATGGCCATACAAAATTATCAGCTTAAAAATTAGTCTGCTCTAGATTCATTGGTTCTAGATTTGTCCATTCTAGATGCATCTGCCATCTGCAGATGCCCTGGTAGGGCCACAGCAAATGATCTCCAGGCCTTTGGGCAGCTCTCAAGCTGGGATCCCTCACCCCTGAGCAGCAGAGATGGAGGAGGGCAGATTTAATTCTCCCTAAGCCCCAGTTAGTTTCTAACTCTGTCCCCTAGAATTAATGTTGTCTGGGTCGTAACTTTGGGGACCATATTATAAATTGTGCTTAACCTGATAAATAAGGAAGAGTTATATCTATAGAGTATTTCCCTTTTAAAAAAATTTATCTTGGGCCCTTCTATTTCATCACGTTTGTATTATTCTCTTAATTTAGTTTTTTTCTCAGAAAATTTGCAAATAAGCTGCAGACATGATATATCTAAATTGTTTACTACACTTATCAGGAAATCAGTCTTCACAGAATATCATTGTTTAGGAACCTTATTCATATTTCTACAAGATTCCCATTTGTTTCCATACTACAAAAGAAACTTTTTTTTTTCTTTTTTGGGGGACAGGTAAGAGGATCATGGTCTTGGATGTAACTCGATCATCTGTTGCATTTAATCTTCCAATTCTCTTTTCTTTAGCCTGCTTTAATCTGGAAGTTTCTCAGCTTCTTGACACTTTTGAAGAGTACACAATATTGATTTTATAGAGGTCTTTCCATTTTTTCTGATGCTACCTCATGGTGAGAGCCAGGTGGTGCATTTTGGGCCAGTATCTCTAGCTCTGAGGACATAGCTTGGGTGCTGTTAACTTTGATCAGTAACTGCCATTCATTCTACCATTAAATTGATGTTTTTTCCTTTAAATGATAAATTTCAAACCAGGTAACATTAAGACTGCAACAGATTAAAAAAAAATGAACAAGTTTCAGAAATTTTTATTTAACTCAAAACTATTGAGAGAATTAATCGAAAGTTACAAGCAGTTTAAACATGAATCTAAATGATAGACACATTTATAGGTCAGAATTGATGCTATGGCTGTATGAACAGAAAGAGCTATGCTGCTCAGTTCAACCTCTAATGGACATAATTTGTGTGTCCACAGATAGCAGTTATTTTACATTGCTGTCAGTTAATTGTAAGTTTCGTGGTTGGAACGTAATTCAAAGGCAATGGAAAACTAGAGGCGGACACTGGTTTGTTGGAGACCCAATCAGACAAGCAGTCTCACATCCGCATGTGGCTTTGTACACATGAATGTGTGCAGTCAGGCTAGGGAGATGGAAGGTTAGCTTGGGCCCCAGCTAAGCTAAATATTATCATTACTGCTCTACTCCCCCATAAAAGAATTTTGTTTGCTCTAGTAGATTGATTTTATAGAGACTAGATTCAATTGTGTTTTGAATTTTGTTGATGCAGTATTAGTGAACGTTACCTTAGCAGACCTAGAGCAGATTGCAGAGGCCTGAGTCGCACAGGCCGTGCTGTGACTCTGTTGAGAGCAGACGGAAGCCGCCGCAACCCGGAGTCCACTGTGCGCCTTTTCCCCGCCTGGCACAGCTCTGCATGTTCTGTTGGGTCTCCTGTGTGTCGGAGTTGGTAGACAGGTATTTCCACCAGGCCTATAAAATCAAGACAGACCTTGACATTTGGGTTAGTGGGAAACAATTACATTTATGTTTGTTTGTTTGTTTATTGTGATAGAACACATGACATAAATAGAAAACTCTGACATGACTTTTTTACTTAAATTTTTGCAGTTACAGGAAGATTGTTTATAGAACACACGTATAAAGTGTTTTATATTGTCACATTTCCTATTTTTTACTTTTTCTGGGAAACTGGATGAAGTAGTTTGTTATGACTGCTTTTTGGCTAGAATTTGAAGTTCTGTCAATTTCTTTAAAGAAGTCTATCCTTTTGGGTAAAAGCTTTTATTATGGGCTCAGCCTGAAGAATTTAGAATTCTGAAGTTTAAAGGATGCATAGGGGTTTTCACAAGATGGTCCCCAGTGAAAGTTCAATACAGGAAAAATATTACTCCATAATTAGTTATCCTTTTTCTGAGGCAGTCTCTGTTCCAGAATAATCTATTTCTGCTCTAGAGAACAGGAAGGGAAGTGGTGCTGTCAGAGCATTGGGAACCACAAAGTCAACAAGGCGTATTTCCTACTTTGAGGGGGTTTACATTATCTTGTTGGAGAAGAGAGTGGTCAACCAGTGATTCCAGTTCAGTATCATGGGGGCACTTCACTTAGAAAAGAGCTTTCAAAAATCAGACTGCTAGGCCTTGTTCTTGTGTCACTTGCTCTGCCACAGCCCTGTGAGGTGCTGATTCTAGGAAAACTCCTTCTTTTTAAGGCCAACCTACCCCTGCTGCAGCGGGAACTGCTGCACTGCGCTCGGGCCGCCAAGCAGACCCCGTCCCAGTACCTGGCTCAGCACGAGCACCTGCTGCTCAACACCAGCATCGCGTCCCCGGCTGACTCCACTGAGCTGCTCATGGAAGTGCATGGGAACGGGAAGAGGCCCAGTCCAGAGAGGTGAGCGGGAAGGACTTTTTCTTGCTTTTCTGAAACCACCATGACCTTCCTGTTTACATATGAAAGAGAATCTGAGTGCTGTGCTTGTTGTTCCAGGATTTCTAAGATGTGTTTGCTTTGTCCCAGTACCAAGTAGTAGAGTGAGTTGTAAGAATAGTTCCCAAGTCCATTCTGGTAGCATAGCAAGCTATTCCTCTGCCTGCAGGTTCAGCGTCTCATATGGCACTGATTCATGTTGCGGCTGTTGCACTTTCAATCTTGCCCCCTCCTTATGGCCTGGGAAGGCAGCAAGGGATAGCTCAAGTCCTTGGGCCCATGTAGGAGACCTCAGCTTCATATGCTGAGGAGTGAGCCAGCAGATAAAAGGTCCCTCTCACTGTATCTGTAAGGTTTTTTTTTTTTTTTTAAGATTTATTTATTTTTATTGGAAATTCAGATAAATAGAGAAAAGGAGAGACAGAAAGATCTTTCCTCTGCTGGTTCACTCTCCAAGTGGCAATGGCTGGAGCTGATCTGAAGCCAGGAGCTTCTTCCAGTTTTCCCATGCAGTTGTAGAGTCCCAAGGCTTTGGGTCGTCCTCTATCTACTGCTTTCTCAGACGAAAAGTAGAGAGCTGGGCCCAGTGTGGTGGCCTAGCAGCTACAGTTCTTACCTTGAATGCTCCAGGATCCCATATGGTCGCCAGTTCTAATCCCAGCAGCTCCACTTCCATCCAGCTCCATGCTTGAGGCCTGGGAAAACAGTTGAGGACGGCCCAAAGCCTTGGGACCCTGCACCCACGTGGGAGACCTGGAGGTGGATCCTGGCTCCTGGCTTCAGATCAGCACAGCACCGGCGATTGTGGTCACTTGGGGAATGAATCATCGGACGGAAGATCTTCTTCTCTGTCTCTCCTCCTCTCTATACATCTGATTTTGCAATAAAAATAAATAAACCTCAAACAAACAAACGCAGAGAAAGCTGGAAGGGAAGTGGAGCAGCCAGGATAGAAGCCGGTGCCTATGTGCAGTCCCAGTGCGTGCAAGACGACGAGTTTAGGTACTAGACTGTCACATCAGGCCCCTAAAAATCTCTCTTTCAAATAATAATATTAAAGAATAGCTTTTAGACATACATATTTTCAAAAACTTGTCAGATGGCTATGCATAGTTATGATTAAGAATTCTGAAAACCATCATGTGGACCCCATGCTTTTGTTAATACAAGAAAATTCACTTAACAGTCAACACAGAAGATTGGTGTGACCAGATGAGGGTAGATTTTTTTTCCCTCACACATAAGGCAAGGAAGCAGGCAGTCCCGCAGCAGATGCCAACTGCAACTCCTGCAAGTCATTTTCGCCCTGATGCTGCCTGCCTGGATTGAGACCTCAGTTCCCGAGGCCTGGCCCTGCCACCTCCCTTCCTTTACCAGTCACCAGCTCTGCACTTCTGACCAGCTGTCAATTAGAAAACCTGCAGCACCCTATTCAGGTTCCAGTGGTTGATAGCTGGCTTACTGTGCTGGGGGAAGCACTTCTGTTTACTAGTTTATCCCAAAGGATGTCACAATGATTACCAATGTAAGCCAGATGCCGAGTACAGCAGTGCAAGGTGTAGACTAAGGGCTGCGTGGCTCCCATAACCTTCTGTGCAGGTTTACCAGCTGCCAAAAATGCCTCTGTTCTTGGTTACTGAAAGCCTCAGGATCCTGTCTTCTCAGGCTTCTCTGGAGGCCTCATTGCATTGATGCAGTATAAATCATGTATTAGTCACTGGTGATAGCTTTAACCTCCAGCCCATTTTCTGTCCTCAAGGTTAGAAGCTGGGTCTGCAAGTCCCAGTCTGGAGTACTGCCTCAGTCCTTGCGCCCATCCAAGAACTGCCAGCCATCAGCTAGCTCATTAGCATGCAAAAATAAGTTGACTACCTTGACTATCCAAGGATGCCAGGATTTGTGCCAAGAAATGTGAGGAAGAGGAAATAAGGATTTCACACACGGCTACCACTGTATTCTATAAGTTATCAAGGCAGGGTTATTTTCACAACAGCGGAAACTTGTTACAGTTGACATGGAATGACTGAAAACCTCAAATTTCAGGATTAGTGATCCTGTGATTGCACAGTAAAAGATTTGGCCTTAAAATCTTCCTGGTGTACAAATCACCCTCCATGTGCCTCTTAAATTGAAAAATATAGTCATGTCCTTAATCTTTTCTTGGCTCTGCCACTACATGATGTGCCTATGCCTGACGACAGTTCTGATCATACCTCCTCTGAGTGTTTTTTTTCCATTCTTGTATGGGTGAAGACATACAGCACGCTGTGGAACACGCAGTAGTGCTCAGGGAACTCTGCTCTGAATACCTGTGGTCAGGCTCAGACATGCACTTCTGCTCCCACAGGAGGGAAGAGAACAGCTTCGACAGAGACCCCGTCGCTCCAGAACCTCCTGCCAAGAGAGTGTGCACCATCAGCCCAGCCCCCCGGCACAGCCCTGCCCTCACCGTGCCCCTCATGAACCCCGGGGGCCAGTTCCATCCGACGCCTCCGCCTCTGCAGCACTATACCTTAGAGGATATTGCAACTTCACACCTGTACCGGGAACCCAACAAGATGCTAGAGCATCGAGAAGTTCGTGAACGGCACCACAGTCTTAGTAAGTGATGTCAGCAGTGTGCTGGCACTTTAAATTCAGGCTGAATGCTTGGATTTCCTTCTTATTTCATGATAAAATTAAATAATAGCATTTTTGCTTTTTTCTCCATTGTGTTATGACTACACTAAGGAATATAACGAAAGAAGCAGATTTTTGCACTAATACAGAATCCTGTGAATAAAAATATCATTTATACATTCAGATATATACTGAAGCATGTTGTGTTAACATGGCATTATTACCATATCTGATATGAATTTTTCAGAACAATGGTAAACTTTTGACTCAATAGTTTTTGTTTTGTTTTTTAACTCAATAGTTTCTTAAATCACACAGTCACATTCATGGGAATTCTGAAATTAGAAATGTACGTAATACCTGAGCGCCCTAACCCCCAAAAAACATGCATCTGCATGGTCACAATAGTGAGAATAGAACCATGCTGAAGCCAGGAGGTTCTTCCAGGTCTATCGTTTGGGAAGCAAGGACTCAAACAGGGCTTCACATAGGCCACTGACATAAAGCTGAAACAGAGATTGAGTGGCCAGGATACAAACTGGTACCCACGTACTGTGTCATGATGCCACCTTTTAAAAACAGATCTGACAGTCAGTGAATAGTGCAGGTGGGGTCAACGGAAGAAGAGAATTCTGACATGTAAGAACTGGGGTGTGTGTGTGTGTATGTCTATGCCAACATCGAAGTACAACAGATTAAACCACCACCTGTATTGCTGGTATCCCGTGTTGAATCCTAGCTGCTCTGTTTACAATCCAGCTCCATGTTAATTCACCTGGGGAAGCAGCAGATGGGCCCAGATACTTGGCCCCTGGCTTCAGCCTGGCTCAGTCTTGGCTTTTGCAGCAATTTGGGGAGTAAACTAGTGAATAGGAAATTAGTCTTTTGCACTCACTTATTTTGCCTTCCAAATAAATAAATCATTTAAAACAAAAAAACCCTCTAAATCTTATAATATTCAGATGTGCATGTAGTTGTACCAACACACACCCATCCTCCGATTTTTATTGCTAAGCACTTACCTTGAACTGTAACCTTATTGACACAGAACTTACTCCTGATGCTTTCATTTTCTCCTGTGTGTTAGACATGAAAAGCCATGTCAGTGACGTTTTTGGTTTGCGTTGTCTGTCTTTTCCTCTGCCTGTGGACTCTGTTTTCTTGCCTGAAAGGTGTATCTGTTTGTTTCTTTGGGCTGTGTGTCATTCACAGTTAATCTGCTGGAATTCCCTACAGACTCTAAATCATGATCCTTTTTGCTTGTTATAATTTTGTGGTTGCCAAGCACCATTGTACATTTTTTCCTCGGTAGGGCTGTCCGTGTTGTCATACATACTGTAGAATTAAGTCCATTTTTCTTCTTCCTGCCGTGTTTAAAGTCAATCTCAATTTCTAACAGGTCTGAACGGAGGCTACCAAGATGAGTTGGTCGATCACCGCCTGACTGAAAGGGAGTGGGCCGATGAATGGAAACACCTCGACCATGTAAGAATCTCACAGATTGTTTTTTCTCTTTATTACTTCCAGAAGATACTGGAGCATGGATGTATTGGAAATTAATATAACCAGAGCTACGGCATCCTTTGCTTATAATAAAAGCTGATTTATCCACTACTTCCTCAGCTAGGACCTCAGTCACTGCCAGGATGCCTCGGTTGTGTGATCACTTCGTGTCATGAACCAAGGAAAGTCCTGCGGTGTGATGGTTAGAAACAAAGGTGTGTGAGCTTAGGTCTGAACTTTGCCACTTCTGTCTGACTGAGTTTGGTAAAATGCTTTACTTCTACTGTCAACATGTAAATTTGCACATAGCACCCCTTCCTTCTTGAGCGGTTGTTTCTAGTCTGTGTTTCTCTGTTTTCTTGGCAAAATTGCAGTTTTATTGGATGACGTAGGACAGACAGATTTACTGCAAGTTTAAAATATTGTGTTCTAAAGAGATTATATTGATGCTACAAGTTTGAATATAGAAAGCATTATCATGAAATTTTAGGAAATGAGTAATTTAATAAATTGTATGTGTGACTAAATATGTAAATTTTAAACAAACACTAAGCACTAAGTTTTTATTGTAAATTTGCCATTCCTAGAGCTGTGACATGCTTGACCTTTGACCCTGGCTATGTGCTTCCCCGTCCTTGGTGCTCAGTGTCCACTGTTTGAACTTGTCCGCCTGCTCTCTCCCACCTTCCCTCTGCGCAGGCGCTCAACTGCATCATGGAGATGGTAGAGAAAACCAGGCGCTCCATGGCGGTGCTGAGGCGCTGCCAGGAATCCGACCGCGAAGAGCTCAACTACTGGAAAAGACGCTACAACGAGAACACGGAGCTGAGGAAAACAGGGGCTGAGCTGGTCTCCAGGCAGCACAGCCCTGGGAGCACCGACTCCCTCAACGGTAAGAGGCACAGTGCGCATGAGCCTCTGTATTCCTCCTGATGACACAAGGAAAAGTTCTTGTTTTACTTACAAGGAAGACAGTGCTAGACTGTGAAACTTGAGATGCGCAGGTGTTGAGGAAGAAACGAGGCCCTCGGCACAACGCACGTGCAGCCAGAGTTCATCTGCAATAGAGAATGAGAGTGTGTGATTTTGCTTTTTTACATACACTATCCGTTACTCAGTTTATCCAATCTTCTTATTTTATTGTTTATTTATTTCTTTTAAAACTAGCTGTTTTTTATTGTTATTATTTACTTTTATTGGAAAGACAGATTTATAGAGAAGAGAGAGGCAGAGAGAAAGATCTTCCAGCTGGTTTATTCCCCACACGCCCATAAAGCCACAGCTGAGCCATGCTGAAACTAAGAGCCAGGAGTTGGCTCTGGGTCTTCCGCATCAGTGCAGGGATGCAAGGACTTGACGACTTTCTACTGTTTTCCCACGTGCGGATTCAGAATTGGAGCAGTTGGCACTCAAACCAGTATCCATATGGGATGCTGGCGGCGTGGGTGGAGGCTTTAGCCACTATGCCACAGTGCCAACTACCCAAACTTATCTGTCTGCAACCTATCCTACCTGTGTTTCTGCCCATCCTCCCTCATGTGCCAAGTGTTAGGTTTTTTGAATTGAACCTGGGTAAATGTACTAAGTACTCCTATGTCGTCACTTTTATCCTTCACGATTTTTTGAAAATCGTCACTTTTTTTTTTCCCACTTTACCATCCAGGAAAATCCCACATTTCAACCAGCAGCTAGTGACCTGTTTTGCAGGTTTTATTTTATCAGGCTGGTCACTGCAGCCTGAATTAGCAGAAACATGAGCAGCTCCTCTCTCAATCCAGGTTACTTCAAGGAAGCCACATTTAGGCTCACAGAAAATGGCTCACATTCAGCCAGCGGCTGAGTTGGTGCCCTACCCACAGGCACAGCTGAGTGACAAGCCATCTGTGATCAGACTCTTCTCCACCCATCCCTTGAAGTTCCCAAATGTTCACTGGAGGAATGAATCTCTTCTTAGGGCCAACTTAGCACATTCCATAGAACATGGCTATTGGAAAGGCTGCAAGAAAAAAGCCAGAGTTCATGTTGTGTGTTTGGGCACCTGTAGTTAAATGGAGGCACCATATTCACTCACAGTGTTAAACCCCTCAGCCCCACATGCCCACACAGTGGAGCTCTTTGAGCCGGTTACAGTTCATAAACACATTCTAAGCAGACAGTTAATCTTCCAGAAGGCTCAGCATTCTTGCTGAGGGCCCTGTGCGGGTGAGGACCCGTGCGTGGGGTGTGTGGGAGAGGCGCCTGTGTGTGGGCGAGGGGCCCAGAGGGGCTGCAGGCATGAGCCTGTCTTTTCCAGCCTGCATCACAGACTTCTGGTGTCTAATTTGAGCCTCCTGTTGTGCCCACGCGCCGTCTTTCTCGTCCTCTGCTGGAGGCTTTGGCTTCTGTGACAGTGTGTTCAGATTCTCCTGGACGGTACTAGGGCCTGGCCCTGTCACAAGTATTGTTAGTTCCTCCTTCGCTCTCAAAAACTAGGGCTGGTTGGATGGATGATAAATTACATTGTCCTTCCTAGTTTAGCTTTTTGAGTTTTTCCTTTGGGGGTACTAATTAAAACCTGATTTGTTGATTTTTTTTTTAAGTGTATCAGAACTGGCACCCATATGGGATCCCGGCACATGTGAGGTGACAACTTTAGCCACTAGGCTACTGCACTAGGCCCAGTTCTTTTTTTTTTTTTTTTTTTTTTAAGATTAATTTATTTTGGGGACTGGCCTAGTAGCTAAGCCTCCACCTGTGGCACTGACAGCTAATAGAGTTGTGGGTTTATGTCCCAGCTGCTCCACTTCCCATCCAGTTGCTTGCTTATGTCCTGTGATAGCAGTGGAGGATGGCCCAAGTCTTTGGGGCCCTGCACCCATGTAGTAGACCTGGAAGAGGCACCTGCTCTTGGCTTTGAATCAGCTCAGCTCTAGCTCTTGGAACCATTTGAGGAAGAACCAATGGATGGATGAGCTCTCTCTTTCCAGATCTGTGCCTTTCTTCCTTTGAAATAAAAACAAAATGTGTTCAATTGCTGTGTAAATTTTAAATGAAGGTTTTTTTTTTAAAAAATGTCGCCTGGAAGGCCCAGCACAGTAGCCTAGCGGCTAAAGCCCTCACCTGCATAGAAGACCCGGAAGAGCTCCTGGCTTCTGGCTTCGGATTGGCTCAGCTCCAACCATTTAGGCCACTTGGGGAGTGAATCAGCGGACGGAAGATGTTCCTCTCTGTCTCTCTTCCTCTCTGTATATCTGGCTTTCAATAAAAAAAAGAATGTCTGACACTGCTCTTCCTTTCGCCTTCCTTCTGCAGATTCTCAGCGGGAATTCAGCAGTAGGCCAGGTGCAGGATATGTGCCCGTGGAGTTTTGGAAAAAAACAGGTACGTGTCTGCTGTGGATGGTGGGTACTCCCCCATCTGAGCATGAGAGATCAGCCGGGGCGGGAGCAGGTTGGTCACCACCTGTTTGCTTACCTCCTAACAGAGTCCCCCGCTCCTGAGTCTCCGCCTCTGGCTCGTCCCACACACCTGTCCTGTTGCAGGACGGGCCATGAGCTCACAGTGCCTCCCCAGTGCGGCGGGCAGCAGGCAGCTCCTCCTTGCCTGTTTGATCTGCCGCTCTCCCGCTGTGCCTGCTGTGTGCCCGCGCCCACCGCACTGCTCAGGCTGGCTCCTCCTGTAGCTCCCGCTCCGGCCTCTGCCTGGGTGAGGCTGTTCTGGCAGTGAAGGAAGCCGCCTTCGCTTCACTCTTACCCTCTCGAAACACGGCCTTTCTTTCCTTCTCACCTCTTTCCCTAGGTACTTCATTTTTTTTGTTCAAGTCCAATGCAATTTCTTATTTTTCCTGAGCTCACATTCAGATAGCTGTGAGTTTATTATACTATGAGAAATACAAATAAACATATTACAGAGTGTTTTTCTTCACCACAAGTACATGGAGGTTCTTGCAGCTGTTGTTATTCAACTGTGTTCAGTGCCTTCCTGTGGAACGTAGCCGCGCTCACACAGCAGTGAGGACAGCAGCGTGTGCGGGGCGGGGCGGGGCGGCCTGGGGAGCACTGCGGGGTGTGAGGGCTCAGGTATTATAACAGCATTGTGCTGTAATAAAATTTGATTTTACCATTTAAAACAATTCAGGAAACATGCACTTTAGAATAATAATTGCAATTAGAAATGGGATAGGATTATATGAAATGAGATATAATTACAAGGAAGAAAGAAAGATCCCTGTCTCCTGTGTAAACGGTCACTGTAAGATGTGTGGCTTTGATTTCTTGGAAGGACTTTTGGTTTCCTGCGGGTAAGAGCCCGGCTTTGCTGCTGGAACAGCTAGATTGGATTTTTTAGCTGCAATGCCACCCGTGACCTTAGGTGATGCCCAGTTAGTGTGATGAGTTGATTCTTACTACTTTATGTGTAAGCTGAGAGGATAGAAATTACCTGACAGTGTGGTTATTGCCTCAGTGTCGGGCAGTTTAGACCTTCCAGCAGCTCAGCCGAGCTGCTTCCTTCCATGGAAGGTAGAGGAGGGCTGCGTGGCACCTAGGCACTGTGTAAGGAAGCCTGGTGTCCTTGGCCTCTGGGTCGAAGACTTCCTTTTCTTAGGGTGGAAGTGGTAAGGTAGAAAGTGAGGTTCTAGGAGCTGGCTGAGGCCTCCTTCGAGCTGAGTGGTTGGGGCGTTCACTCAGCTCCTTGGCTGAGCAGCCCCGCGGTTCACATGTGACCCACTCAGGCTCTTGTGGGTGGAGGCTCTCAGCGGAACAGGACATGCTGTGTGCAGTTGCAAAAGCCAGGTGGTGATGGGAAGGCATGGTCAGGAACTTGCTGGAATGTCCATCAGGGCAGGGATGAGGAGGGCTTGCTGCCCACGTCATGTCTTCACCCCGTTGTTCTGCACTGTGTGTATCCTCAGGTATCTTCCCGCCCCTGGAAGGTCTGCAGGCCCCCTGCCTTCTCGCTTGCCCCCTGTCCAGCCTCTGCGTGTTCGTGTCGCCTGTTTCCTTGGATAGTGGAGCCATTCTGCCGCACCTCCACCTCTTGGCCATAGCCCTGCGCAGACTCCCGCACACGTCGCTGTAGCACATTCGCCTCATTCTCTCTTGCCCCCCTAGAGGGGCCACTTTGATCCTTGGTGCACTGTCTGATCTGGGAGCATCTGCTGGCACTGAAGCACTGTCAGGCCTGCCAGTCGCGCTAGTTCAGGTCACGTCCAGCCACCCACGTATCTGCGACATAGCACAGTGTCCACTGTGTTGCGTCCTGCTTCACAGACCGCTGAATGAACGGACAGGCATTCCTTTGTGTTTTTAGAAACAGTTATCTTTTTTCAGCTCTAGAAATTATGTAGGGTGGGAGGGAAAAGATTCTCGGCCAGTTGATTTTACTGTCACTTTCTTCTAGAAGAAGCTGTGAATAAGGTGAAGATCCAGGCCATGTCAGAAGTACAAAAGGCTGTCGCCGAGGCAGAGCAAAAAGCCTTTGAGGTGATTGCCACAGAGAGAGCACGAATGGAGCAAACCATCGCTGACGTCAAGCGGCAGGCTGCAGAAGATGCCTTCCTGGTCATCAATGAGCAGGAGGAGTCCACAGAGGTCAGAGCCTGGGGGCCGGGGCGGGGCTAGGTCTGACTGTGGAGGGGCTGCGCCCACAGCTCACACACAGACACTGAGACACCAGCAGAGCTCCTGAACTGGAGGCTGACCTTCCTCCTGAACCCGAGTTCTGCCTCTCACTCTGGGCCTCTCCACCCAGTAACATCATATAAAGTCCGTTATTGTATTGTACTGTGTTCATGAGTGTATGTGTATATAGGTTCATTACTGCGGCTTGTTTTATAAACTCACCCTGGAGACTGTGTGATTGCAAGCAAATGCTGATCAGCTTTGAGTAGCTTTCCCTTGCAGGCAGCCAGCTTAGTGTGTGTTTTGATCGATCACTGTCCTATTGGGTGAGTAGCATACTGCTAGGCTGCTTGACAGACAAGGGGTCACTGTGGCTAGGGACTGTACCTAAAAGAAACCTGTCTTTCTGCTCCCAGGAGCATGCTGGGACCTGGGGCCCTTGGGCCTCTAATGCACAGGACACCCTGTACATAGGCTAAGTGACAGCTTGCGTGGACCGGGCCAGGCGGGGCTCAGGGACCACAGAGAGCACAGGAATGAGGAAGCCAAAAAAAAAAAGAAAAGTGAACACAAAGCACTTAACAGTCATAGAATTTAGGGACATTTTCCTGTAATTTTTTTGTTTGTTTTTAAAGATTTGTTTAAAACAAAGTTACAAAGAGAAGGAGAAACGGGGAGAGAATCTTTAATGTCCAAGGACCTTTTATTTCTTTTAAAGAGTTAATTTTATTGGAAAGGCAGAGAGAGAAAAATCTTCCATCCATTGGTTCAGTAATTGTAGCAGTGGCTGGAGCTGAGTGGATCTGAAGTTAGGAGCCCTTTCTGGGTCTCCCACACGGGAGCACGCATGAGTCTAAGCACTCAAGCCATCCTGCCTGCCTCGCCAGGCCATTGCTGGGAGCTGGACAGGAAGTGGAACAACCGGGACTCTAACCAGTGCTGCACGTGAACTCGGTGCCACAAGTGCAAGATTAAGCTACTGTACCATAGGCTGACCTGTAACTTTCATTTTAGTTATTTCTCAGTGTTATAAACAAGAACTAAGCCAGTTTCTGTAAATGGATCCATTCCAGCCACTGTTGGGAAACAGCTCTCTTGAACATTCCTCTTAAAAACTGTCCTGTGGGGTTTTTGATTTGTGGTTTAAAATAAAAATCACAACTTTTTTCTCATTACATTCGAATGTTCCATTTTGGGATAGCAGTTCCAAGCACAGCAGTGTCAGGGTGCCGGTGCCTGAGTGTCATGTGGCATATCACAGAGGTGGCCCAGCCAGCGGGCACTTTGAGAACAAATCCTGCTGCCCACTTCCTCCTCCCAGCCTGTGCTTCCTCTGGTGTTTTTGAGCAATGGCGTCTGCTTGGGTCTGGTTAGCTGTTCTGTAGCAGCCCCTGCCTTGTCCCTGTTTGTCCCTTTTACTTCTCTGTTTTCTTGCTACTCTGCAAAGAAGGAGTCTGAGTTCTGGACCTGGGCTGCATAGGATGAAGTCCCAGCCCTCCGTGTATAGGACTGTGCTCTAGAGAACCATGTTGGGTTGTACACAGGCACCCTGAGTGAGGCCCACGCCTGTCGCGGCCACGCTCTTCCTGCCTTTCTGTCAACAGGGTTTAGTGCCCAGAGCCATTTCTGAGCTGGCACACGGGTTGACCCAAGAGGACTGCGCTCTGTGGTGCTGTTGGTAGCCCTGGGCAGGCAGTGGCTGAGTCCTTCCCCTTGGGGCCTCGGCACAACATTTCGCACAGCAACCTTTTTGGTCTGTGGAGCATGGTGTGGATCTGTCAGCATAACCCACGAGTTACTTCTGGTGTTGGTATCAGGCCCCGCCCAGGGCTTTTGCCCTTGGGGAGCCCGCATGGGTAGAGCAGGGGCAGTGGCTGCCAGGTGCTCATTGCTGTTTGATCACTTGGCATGGCCGGTGCTACAGGCGTTCCTCAACCCTGTGGTTCGTGGAAAAACGTGGATGTGAAAACTCCTACCTTGTATACCCGTGGAGACCTCAGAGAGCTTTCACAAGGATGAGCGCCAGGATGGGCACGGGGCTGTGCACATGAACATGTGTCCTGCTGTGCCACTCACCCTGCCTGCCTGCCTAGAGCAGGCGTGGTTGTCTGAGGGCAGGGATGCAGGACTTCTGTCCACTCCTGCCTTCAGGGCTGCTCCTCATAGCTCATGCCAAGCCTCTGTGGGCTCGCATATTCCAAAATAAAATGAATTCATGCGTCCTCCCTGGACACACTCCTTTGGTGGTTTTGACCAAACTCTAGTACCTATTCCCCTGTAGGAAAGCAGACGAATTAGCACAAAAACAAACAATTTCTGGGCCCAGTAGCTTTCAGGGGCCTGAGTTCTGAGTGAAGCTGCAAATAGGGCAGCGCCTTCCTCTGCTGCCTACGCATCTGTCCCACCAGCAGAGCACACACGAGGCAGGGGCTGCTGCATGTGCTCCTCCGTAACACACCACTAAAAGTTCAGAATTGTTAGTAACGAAAAAACACGCAAACAAGGCCTGGCGTGATGGTTCAGTGCCTAAATCTCACCTTGCCAGCACTGGGATCCCATATGGGCATTGGTTCGTGTCCCAGCTGTTCCAATTTCCATCCAGCTCCCTGCCGTGGCCTGGGAAAATAGCAGAGAATGGCCGTAAGCCTTGGGGACCATGTGAGAGATCCACAAGAAGCTCCTGGTGCTGGCTTCGGATCCGCTCAGCTCCACTTAGTGGAGTGAACCAAAACAACTTTCTCTGTCTCTCCTTCTCTCTGTGAATCTGCCTTTCCAAAATAAATAAATAAATAAAATAAATCTTTAGAAAGAAAAAAAAAAAAGGAAAACAAACCAAAACCAAAGGAGCCCTCTTTCTCTGGGAATGGCAAGAGTACCACGGGCAGCACCCGTGGATGTGTGATGTCGGGTCCACTGCAGGAGACCCTCCAGTGCAAGAGTGGAGTCTGCATGTGTCCAGGTGGGGTGACCTAGCTGGTTTCACTACACCCCTTGACTCTGTCCACCACACCTCCTGAGCAGGTGTTTTCCTGGTTTACAGCTGAAAGGATCTCGGGCTGGGGGTGCTATATGTCTCCCAGTTCAACAGATGGCAGTAGAGGCAGGAACAGCAGCCAGTGAGTGGCAACTGGCAAGCCTGCCCCTCGGTCCCACCACTAACCCATGCTGTGTCTTGCAGAACTGCTGGAACTGCGGCCGCAAAGCCAGCGAGACATGCAGTGGCTGCAACATCGCACGGTACTGCGGCTCTTTCTGCCAGCACAAGGACTGGGAGCGGCACCACCGCCTCTGTGGGCAGAGCCTGCACAGCCAGAGTCCCCACAGCCAGAGCCGGCCGCTGCTGCCCGGGGCTAGGGGCTCCTCGGCCAGGTCCGCTGACTGCAGCGTGCCCAGCCCAGCCCTAGACAAGACCTCGGCAACCACCTCGCGCTCCTCCACACCTGCCTCCGTCACGGCCATTGATAGCAATGGGCTCTGAGCCCCAGAGCCTGCTTACCTGATGGCCCCCCTCCCCCCACCCACCAGGACACCGGGACCTGGCTGTGGGAGCCATGCACGCAGCTGCGGGGTCATCAGCAGGAAAGACGTGGGAACCAGAACAGTCCAAGCCTGGGGCATGCATCCCCCCATTGCGTCTGGGACCTGCAGGAACACACGCGTGTCTGCGCATGGACGCCCACCGGGACCCCGCCACCGTGGATTTCCTCACATCCCCCTCTCCCAGACGAAGCTGGCAAGGCCAGAGCACCATGTGGCACACCAGCTCTCCGCTCCTGAGCCAGCAGACTGCCAGATGTGCAGGTCAGCCTCCTGGTCCCTGGGTAGGCAAAGCATGGCCTTGGAACGCCCTCCTCAGCCCTGCTGGGCAGACTTGATGGGAAGCTCAGAGATGACAGGAAAGCCGTCACTGTTTCAATGAAAACACCAGAATAATGAGTAGATAAATCTCCCCCAAGCTTCACGGATAATTCTGTACAAGACTTTTTCCACCCAGCTGGCCACTTGTCCTTGGAAAACATTTTCCTCTCTTGCTTTTGTTTATGCCGAGTGTCACTTCCAATGCGTGGACTGGGCTCCAAGAAGCCTCACCATGGAAGCAAGTCCTCCACGCCTGTTGGCCAGACCAGCCATGCGAAGTGACCAAGCCTTTCACATCAGGGAAGTGCAGAATCTCCCAGCCCCGCTGGCAGCTGCCACCGTCACCTCACAGCTCCCGCACATCCTGGCCCCACAGGTCCCTTCCACCCTGCGACCCCTCTGGCTTCTGCCAGCCATGCCTGGTCTTGTCTGCACTGCCTCCTGCCCTTGAGATGTGTCTTTAGCCCCCACAGCTTCGTGCATCTAGCATTGGGCACACAAGCTCATCTGTCTTCTCCCATGTTGCCTGTTTGCTTCCCCAAGTCTTTGAACTCAGAAAGGTTTTGTGAAATATGAGAGCCATTTCAGGAAAACCTCATCAACTTGTCTTCCCTTTTTCAAGGAGTTTCCTGCTGCTTACCTGGCTGTCCAAACAGCACGTCACCTGTTTGTTCCCCTACAGAATGTTAAGCCTGCAGCCCAAGGACCGTCCCCTCCCCTCTCCCTACTGCTCCTGGTGACTGCAACAAGGATTTTCAGTCTTAGAAGAAACTTGATACAAGGCACCTTTAAAATTCCTGGATTTACCAGTTGCATTGCAAATGAAGTCAGCTGTCCCCGGAGAGAACAGCAGAGGGACACATGGCATCACTGGGTGAAACCCAGCAGGGCGGTAGGTAGTCGGTACCGCAGATAGGACCCGCCCACGTTTCACGGAAGCGGGGTGTCTGTGCCGTCTGGTGGAGCCCTGCATTGGTTATGGCATGAGTGTGGTTTGCAAGGTACCTGGACTCACCTCACTAACTTACAAGAACCCCTGAGTAGATCTAGATCTTGGGGGGAGCTCGAGGTCACCCAGTAGTCTTTGTTGAGGTGAGGTGGGCAGAGCCAGCCTGGCCAGCCCTCCTGGGCAGTCACTCCAGTGCCAACTTCCTGTTTGGTCTTCATAGTGTCATTCCAGCTGCTGTACTCCTGGGCACTGCCAACATAGACCTTGCCACGGTGTCTGTCCAGCTTTGAAAGACCCTCTTCCCTGGGGTGGACAGTCCACTAGAGGGGAAAGGCAAGCGCTGTGCTGTCGCCTCTGTACACCCTGCCCCTGCTCCCGGCTTTCAGGATGGGAATGGACATTTTGGTTCCCCGCTGGAATCCCCAGCAAGGTTTTAAAAAAGGCTCTTCTGGCTGCTGTGTGTGAGGCCCAGCATCTCCAGTTTGCATTTAGGGCGGCAGTGAAGGCCAAGGCCGGGGCATGATCCACACTGTCTCAGGACAGTCACAGGCATCCTCAACAGCCTAGAAACCAAAAGGGAGCGCGGTCTCCACAACTGCTGGAGACGGTACCGGGCCCTGCCCGCCTGCCGAGGGCCACTCGGCGCTGCCAAGGAAAGGCTGAGGCAAGAATCCCAGGAGACCATGGTGGCCACCCAGGCCTGAGGAAGACTTGGAAGCGCTGGAGCACGCCTGCTCAGGAAGAACAGCTGCAGCTCTCAGCTGATGCCCTCGCAAGTGCAGGGGATGCGCACATTGCCGAGCTGTCTTTCTTAGATGGGACCCAGCACAGGCCATGGCCGGCCTCAGCCACCACCTCTGCAGATGGACTTGTTTGCCCATTTGGGCCAGCTGGTTCACCAGAAGCTCCTCACTTCAGCTTCCATTCCCAATCAGTGTGTGTACCGTATCCAGCCCTGTATCTGTATTGGAGGGGTCCCCAGCGTGTCCATGCCGGCAAGAGCAGACGTGGCTCTCAGTAGTTGTGTAAGGCATCTCGCAGTAGCCTCACTGGCATAGCATGGTATGGCACATGCTTCAGACTGGAAGCCAGGAGAACAGCCAGTTGGCCGCTTGTCCTGGAGTCAGTGGAAGGGATTATGGGATGGAGAAAACATTGGAACTAGGACGCATCTTGGGAGGCTTCCTTCAGAACTGGCCTAGAACCAAGGCTCCCAGCTGGGCTCCTGGGTCAGGAACCGGCGCCAATTTTCTTTGATGGCTTTTAGCTATTTGCAGAGAACCAGGTGGTGGCATGTGTGAACCAAATGCAACAAAGGCCAGAGGACGCAGACTGTTGCAACATGGGCCAGCTGGCAGCTGTCAGGAAGTTGTCCCACCCAGCCTGGCGAGGGTCTGGCCAAGCTGGCCAGAGGGTCAGCTGTTCTTGAGAAACCAAAATGTTGCCTCCTGGACCTGCCCCCATGCACAGACATGCTCTTTCCCAAAGATGGTGGTGTAGAGACCTTCCCATCCCAGCCCCGGAGAGCCAGCAGGCCTGAGGGTGGGCCTCGCACGCCCCTGCACACCCTGACTGGTCAGGCCCCCAGCGGCACAGTGGATACTTGCTGATGCTTATACCAAATAGGGCATGCATGGCTGGTGTCTGCTAGGGACGACCCTGGCCTTGGACTTGGCAGAGAAGCAGCTGACAGAGCTGCTTGGCTAGGGGTCCCTGTGCACTGGAGAAGGCAGCCATGTAAGTGGAGAATGCGCACGCACGAGCAAGCAATGCCTTCACACGGTTTGTAAAGCACTGGTGAGTGTGCAGCCCCCACGGATGTGTCCCAGTCTGGGTTTTCTGTGCTTTGTCATTTTACTCTGATAGGAACTTTGTTACTCAGCTCTGTGCATAACTTATTTAATGTACTGTATAAACGAACCAAAACTGGTAAATATGTATTTAGTTTGTTCTACTTAAAGTAGTCAATAAAAGGCTATATTCCTTTTCTGCCTCGGCTGGGTGGGAGTGCACACACAACACACCGTCCTTCCAGCCACCCATGTCCCTACCTTGTGCCAAGCAGTTCACGTGGCCTGGAGAGCACATGGTGGTGCAGGAGGAGCTGCTGTGGATGGGCTGGTTCCCAGAGGGGTCCAGGCCCACTGCTCCCGTCCCACCGACAGGGTCCATGGTCAAGTGCCAGCAACAGCTTTAACTGTTTCTGTCCATTTCTGATGTGAAGTCCTAAGTAATTTCCTACCTTATTTGCTCAATGGTTACATCACGTGAGACCCTAATTTCCTTATCTCCGCCTCCTGTGTGCACTGCAGTACTTACTGAAGTCGCCTTCTGCCGTCCACACACCATTACGTGTTCATGTCGCTTTCCCCAAAGCCCTGAGATTGGTGCAGACACGGCGTCCACACCTGTGTGTGGAGTCACAGGTCAGCTGGATCTGAGGCCCCACTCATGCCACATGCCCTGTCTGAGGTTCTCCAGCCCGGTCTCAAGACAAGAGCCCTGGAGTGGGCAGAAGGGCTAACTGTGCTGTGATGTGTGCTGTGGGATGCGAGGTATGCCCTTGCTATCAGCCTTTCAGTCATGCTGCAGTCTGCCACACCGAGCCAGCAACACAGCCCTGTGTCAGCGTAAAGGGACACTGCCCTCAAAAACGGCAAACTGGAGGTTGTTCAGTACCACAGAGCACTCAAGCCAACTAAGTTACAATGAATGTTCTTTGAACCAGTATTGCTGAGGTCACAAATGAGAAAATGCAGGAATGCACTGAAGGCCGGCGGGGGGAACCTTCCAGGAGGAATTCCAGGAACTCAGTGCTGGAGGAAGTTACACCTCTGGGGGAAGTGGGAGACTCCCACCCCATGGGGTCCCTCGCCATGCAGGAGAGCCCACCTGTCCGCAGCGAAGCTGAACTGGGACCCATTCTGGAGCTACTCTTGGATTCAAATGAACCCCACGAATCTCAAAGATCTTTCCAGGCATGTGGCATTTCCTTGGGGGCCTGCTGCTGCTCTGCGCTCACCCATCAGCCCCAGGATGAGCCCCCAGAGCAGCGGCACCATGAGCACCAACAAGAACTTGGCGAATACTGGCTCCGGGGCCCACAGGCGTGGGAAGCGATCAGATATGAAGTCTCAGTAATCACAGCACGTGCAGTCTGTGGGGGAGCCTCAAGGCGCCATCACCCACCTAAAGGCAATCAATTCGTGCCTTGGCACAGGCAACCCCAATCTGCAGATACAAAAGTTGACAGGGCAAGCGGATGGAGTCTGAAGCCACTGACTGGCATCCCAGGAGAAGGAAATACCAACACCTTAGGATGAGCAGGCATTCGATCTATGCGTGTCCTTCGCACCTGAGCGTGTTTCTGATCTTGCTATCCCTCAGCCTTCATCCCGCAAAAGAGCTTGGGGAACCCCAAGCCCACCACACCTGAATGGGTCTCACTGGTGCAGCGCGCCCTCTTGTGGACGAGGCTGGACTTGTGTCCTCCAGCCAGGACCCCTGCTTTATCCAAAGCTGGCCTGTGGCCCATGAGTTCAGTGAGATTCCCAGGGTGCCTCCTTAGGGAGCTTCTCAGGAGACCAGGATCCAACACAACCCTCCCCTCCCTGAGGCAGCCCACTGCTCCATATGCTGACTTCTCTTCCTGCCCAAACTGTGATCCGCCTGGTGCTGATCCTACTAGAAGCAGCACACACACTTCTCCACACTCAGAGAATAGATCCTGCCTGCTGGGTGGCCTGCAGCAAGATGCTGTTCTCTGGCCCTGTTTCTTCTAGTGTAAGTTGAGGATGCTAATGACCTGTCTTTATGAGGGTGTTGATGGGATCACCTGGCTGTCATTCCCTGTGCAGGACTCAGCCCTCAGGCTTGGCCTCAGCCTGCTGCCCTCCCTGTCCATCTGGGAGTCACTGAGGATTCACTGTTGGTGGACCTGGAGTCTTGCTCAAGTGGTCTCAACTTCCAAAAGATACAATCAGTTTCATCCTTTGGTTTCAATTCCCCAAGGGCTGGGTCAGGGCACCTAGTGTGCACACCTGAGTGCTGCGGGGCAGTGGCGCTCTCCAGCACCTACCTGGCACTGAGCCACTCCCCAGGGCAGGTGCTGGGAGTGTGAAAGTGCATGCGTGGCAGCTGGCCGAGGAGCCTGCGGCTCCCTCTCCTGGCTTCAGAATTCATCCTTGGCACCTAACACCAGGCGCTTAGTAACAGGAGCTGGAAAACTAGCCAGTGCAGTTCACAGAGAGCAAGGATTGGGAAGGCTGCCAGACCGCATGCCTTGGGCCTACTGCTGAGAGCCTGAGTGGCGCCCACAGCGCGAGGGCTGGGGAAGATGCTGTCACGAGTGACCCAGGGCAGCTGGGGCTAGCAGCTGCACATGGCCGCCTGCAGGTGATGCCAGGACAACTTGGTACTGAAGAAAGCAACTGTCATGGGTAGGTCTCACTCCCTTTTTTCGGGTAGGACAGTGGGGCCCTGAATGGAGGGACTGCCTCTGCTGTGGGTCCGCGAGAGTGAGACGGGAGCAAGGTTTCTGGTCTAGGAGGAAGCACATAGGTTCTGGGGCCTGGCCCTGCCCAGAAGACAGGAGGCAATGCCAGGTGACTGCTGCCTTTATTGACTCTGTTGGAGTCCTGGGCTGGGGTTCAGAAGTCTCAGGACAGCAGGCAGTTCTGGGCCCAAATTATTGCTACTTGGCAAGGTCACCTTGGGGCTTCTCACAATGCCCTGAGAATGAGTGGGATGAGAACATGCAAATACTATGCAAATAACATGCAGTCCAACCCAGGATCCTCGGCAGGTGTCTGTGGCAGACAGGGGTGCTAGAAGTCTAGAGGCAGTCCAGGAAGGTGATGGGGACAGCCAGGTCCTTACCCCACTCTGCAGACTGATCTAGTCCTGCCTCTGGATGAGGTATGAGGGATTGAGGGTTCCCTGAGCTTCAGCCCTGGCTCTGCTACTGGCTGGGGACAAGCAAAAGCCAGACCCCTGGCCAGCAGGAGGAACACAGGACCGCCCGCCAGGCAGCCCAGGTGGGACGGGACCTTGCCCTGGGTCACACCACAAAGCAGGGCAGAAGCAACCAGCATCCACACCTCCTGAGCCGGGAGGAAGCCAGAGGGCCCTGGAGACCGAAGCTACAGACAACAGAATATGCTGCTGGAGACACAGGAAGCAAGCGGCCCAGTGCCCCAAGGACCTTCCAACAGCTGGCGAAGCAGGCAGGGTCCTCAGCTTAGGGCAGGCTCAGTTGTTGTTCATGATCCACCAGGAGGCTGTGGGACAAAGGGTTGCATGTCAGGAGCTACTCAGGTCCACTACCCTCCTGGGTACAGGGCTGTGGTGGGCACGGGGGCACAACCCACCTGGGAAGAACACGGTGGTGAGGGTGTCCGGAGCCCGCAGGTGGTCGATGAGGACGCGCTGGAAGGCCTTGCTGCAGGGCGACTGCTGGTGCCTAGGAGGGCACAGACGGTCAGACCCTCCCACCCCACCTGTTCCCTGATACCAACCCTGGGTTTCCCAAACCCTGGCTGAGAAACGGGAATAGTGTCTGTTTCCCTAGGACACAGTGAGGCTCCGGGGCCCAGCACAGACATCTGTGCCTTCTGGGTACCTCACACTGAACTGAGTTCTTTCCCCCCCATCTGGACCTCAGGAGTGGGACTACAGTTGCCCCCACTTTGCAAAGGGTCCTAGATTCGAGCCAGAAGGCAGGCCAGATTCCCTATAGGGCCCTCGCTCGCTCGCACCTTCTCCAGGAGGCTTCATCCTGCCAGAACTCATACAGCGTGAAGGAGGCCTTGTCGAGCGTCTTCTGGGCAGACACACTGCAGAGCCAAAGAGATGGCCAGGCCAGGGAGCCAGGGAGCCAAGGTGCTGCCCAGCAGCCCTCCCAGCTCCCCACCCCAGCTGGCCAGGCACTTACTGCAGACAGTGGCTCTGGGCCCCTGTGAAGTCCATGTAGCAGCCCAGGGCTCGGTGGAAGTCCTGCAGAGCCTCTTCGGCCACCTGCACCTGCCTCTGGGCCACCAGGATATGCTGCCAAGAGAGGCCGGGGCCACCAGCCAGCAGGTATGGGCTGCTGCAGGGGCACCCCATCCTGCCTGACCTGGCACCCATTGGAATCATCCTAGGGTGCAGCTCCTGCCACCTCACCCCAACCCTAAAGTGACTGGCATGATCCAGCCATCATCCTCCTCCCCTGCAGCATGTCCGTGTCCGCTTCCATCCACACCAGCTCAGACTTAGTCCTGAGTGACACAGATGTGACACTGAGGCTCAGAGGGACAGTCAGGCCAGGCTGGGGGCAGGTGGGCGCCACAGGGCCAATGAGGCCAGGTCAGAGGCAGGCAGACCGTGCCTCTCTCCCCCTGCTCACCGAGACAGGCTCCTTGGCCGAGTCCTCTTCCTGCAGGGGTTCTAGCCGGGGAGCCTGTGACAGACATGGAGTATAGGCTGAGCCCCCTGCACGCGTCTGGCTGGGACGAGGCAGCCTACACGGTACTCACCTTGAACTCGAGCTGGTTGATGAGCTCCTGGAGACGGCTGACCTGGAGCCGCCACTGTGCCTCGGCCTCGGAGCTCCGCCCTGGGGAGACCAGCAGTGAGGTATCAGGCATGGGTCCCTTGGGCCAGGAGCCCCTTTAGGGCAAAACACAGGACAGTGGACAGACATGCCCTGGGAAAGGAGGTACAACACACCTCCCACACTGCCTCAGACACACCTGTGTCATTGGAGCCAGGAGACCAGGTGGGTGACCGAGTGACCATCCTCAGGGCCCGGCGCCCTGCCCGCCGGTTAACACGCGGCCTGCTCTGCACTGGGCTGCTGTCTTCATCTGACCTGGGGAAGTGGAGACTCAGCCCACCAGCCCCACCACCCAGGCTCTCTGACAGTCTCCCTGCCCAAGAAGGCACTGACTCAGCCATGTGGGGAAGCTTGAGGGCTTGAGACACACACACAGCCACAGGCCGTCAAGGCCCACACGTACCGCAGGCTGAGGGCCTGGGCCTCTAGGGTGTCTGCTGCCCCCTCCAGCGAGCTCTGCAGCGCTTGCAGCTGGCTCACAGTCTCCCGCAGCAAGAAGCGTGTCATGAACTGGTCCACCTTGGAGGCCCGCTCATACTCCTGCAGGGGGGGTAAGGGGACAAGGCATCTTCTGGCATGGGCATGGACCCCCTGGCAGGATGGCCACCTCCCTACTCAGCTACCTCGCTTGTCAGATTGGCCATGGCCTGTAGGCAGGAGGCTGACTCGCAGGAGGCATCTACCTATTGGCTTGCTGGCTTCTCTGGACCACTGGGCCTCTTCCCCATTGGGGTAACTGCCTTCAGAAATGATCTGGCCAGTGAGCCCCCAGCATAGCTGGGCTGGGTGAGGGGCTAAGGACAGTATGCAAGGGCATCCCAGGGCCAGTTAGGACAGCATCGTGTAAATGTCCTACAGCTGGCCCCAAACTTGGCCTACAAATGTGCTCATTCATTCATGTAACCAATATTCACCAGACACTCTGTAATGGACACTCCAGACAGACACAGGTCACACAGGCTGCTGTGTACACACACACACACACACACACACACACACACACACACACACACACACACCCCCAGACACTCTGTAATGGACACTCCAGACAGACACAGGTCACACAGGCTGCTGTGTACACACACACACACACACACACACACACACACACACACACACACCCCCAGACACTCTGTAATGGACACTCCAGACAGACACAGGTCACACAGGCTGCTGTGTACACACACACACACACACACACACACACACACACACACACACACACACCCCCAGACACTCTGTAATGGACACTCCAGACAGACACAGGTCACACAGGCTGCTGTGTACACACACACACACACACACACACACACACACACACACACCAGTACTAGTCCCAACAAAAACTATCAGTCCCTCCCAAAGATGAGCAAAGACCAGGAAGCTGACCACTAGCACAGCCCAGGGCTGTCCATCTCAAGATTCTAAGACCCCAACTGCCTTCACCTCCACCTGCCTCTGCCTCCCTAACACAGGAACATTAGCACTCATCACACGGAGTTGCTGGCAACCCTGTCAGGAAGTCCTCTTCAGAACTCAGCCCAGGGCCTGCCACAAGAGTCCTCCTCCCCCACAGAGCTGTCACCATGGCAACCTTCAGACTTGACACCAACAAGGAATCTGCCTACTGCTACATGCAACAGGCGGCCATGTCCTGGGACTCCCTCCACCATGCCAGATGTACACAGAATCCCAGTGGGCAGTTCTAGCAGTTGTGATCCAGCCCTGCCCTACCCCCCTGCTACACACACACACACACACACACACACACACAGGGCATCTCCAGGAACCATCCACACAGGGCTTCCTGCCCACCAGGCACAAGTTCCTGGGCCAGGTTTGTGACCAGAAGACCAGCATAAAGGAGGCAAGGTCCTCCCATGCTTGAACAAGCCAGCAGCATGTGTTCCCAGGAAATCCTTCCACAAATCCCCTCTTGGGGTCCTAAAATGCTTTCTCAAGTTCCAGCAGTCACCCGTACCCGTGCCACACCAGGTCATGTACAAGACATGAAGGCATGAGGTCACACAGCCAGTGGGAGATCAGAGGTCAAACCTGGAGCACAGACCTCCCCCCCCCCCCCATTTCAACTCCATACCAGACCCTGACAAGTCCTGCCTCTGTGATCCTGTGGTGTCTGTCTAGCCTTAGGACTGGGACACCAGGTAGGAAAAAGGTAGAGTGAACAGAGCCAAGAGTTGCCACAGGGGGGCGCTAGCTGGCAAGGACAACCTATGACGTCACAATATGGCCTCCAGACCAGGGCTATCCCAGGGTCCCCCACCACAAAGCAGGGCAGGGGAGGCCTGGGCCGTGGCCCCCAGTGGTGACTAGCCCTGCCATGGGAAACAACAGTTCCCAGAGGAGGAGCAAGCGGGCCTGCAAGGACAAGGGGATGGACACGGCTGAGCGCAAACAGCTCTTCTGCCACTTCCACAGCAAGAAACCGGGTGTGAGTGCTAGGGGGGGTGGGCAGCGGGCACACCTAGAGGCTCGGGCCAGCACGAGGCTCCCAGAGTTCAAGGAGGCCAGGAACCAGAACGTCCCCAGGCTTCCCACCTCCAGGAAGACAGACAGGGAGTTGGGGTCCCCTAGCTTCAGTACTGCTACCCTTCTGTTAAATGGGTGGAGGCCCTGGAGGGTGGGCCCGAGTCTCCCAGGAAGGCTGAGTGGGGGTCCTTGGCGCGGAGAAGGGAAGGGTGTACCTCTCCTGGGCCTGAATGACAGGGCAGGGATAGCGCACACTCCACACACACACCTCCTCCAGGGGAAGAAGGGGACCCTGCCCTCATGCCCTGCCCCCTTCCCCGCTTCAGGCCAAGATTGTGCTGCTTTTTCAGTTGGACAGGCGGCAGCAGCCTGCCGAGGCGGCGGCAGCTGGCCCCAGAGTGCGGCGCCGGGAAGACGCGCCCAGCCGCTCGGTGCGCTCTACCGCGCCAGCGTCCATGCTGCAGGGAGCCGGCGATGGTGCAGGGCGGCGTGAGGGGGCACGTGCAAGAGAGATGAAAAAGATCCTGGTGCTGCTGCTCTTGCTGGACGCGAGGCAGCAGGAGCAGGGGCGCCACACAGGGGGCCCGCCCGGAGCCAAGGCGCGGCCCAGCGTACCAAGGCGCGGTGCCAGTATGCCCGCCTGCAACCAGGAGAGCGGCGAGCGCAACCCGGGTGAAGAGTGGCCATGCAAGCGGCGTCGCTGCCCGCGCCGGCGGCCCTGAGCCCACGGTGCAGACTCCTGGTGCAATAAAGAGCTAGGAGAAACCTGCAGCCTGCCAGCTTGCCTGGGGGTATCTATGTAAGGCAAAGCTGGGGCCCAAGCAACGGCCCCACCCCACCCCCAAAGCTATCCTGGACAGCGTTGAGATCCCACTCAACAGCAGCAAAACGACAAGGGCTGCCGGGAACGGTAGCTGTGCCCTCCTGGCACACTCCAGATCCCCCACCCCACCCAGTCCCCAGGTCTACATGTCCAAGGGAAGTGGGCCTGCTCACTCTACCCCCTCTTGGTAACTCTGACCACACTGCCCCTTGTGGTCCCAAAGTCTCTCCTGAGAGGCCAGCCACACCCAGCTCCGTGGCTGCACGAGGGGTAACTAACTTCCCAAGGCCCTCAAGGGTAGCACCTCCTGCCACACCTGTGCTTCTTATCCACCCCCCAAACCACTTTCCATCCACTGCCCAGGGTGGGCAGAACTGGCCAGCCCATGGGTGCTCAGTAAGGGCTGACTCTCCCCCAGCATCCAGTGACAGTCTCAACTCCTGGCCTCCACGGGGCCACAAGCAATTGGTCCAACCCAGCAGGTCCTCTCAGCCTCTCCTTCCCCGGCACTGTAATTGAGCAGTTGCGGTGAAAAAGGCAATGCAAAGGGCCGTGTGTTGCAGTATACCATGCTAATCTTTAGCCTTCAGCACCGGCATCTTACATGGGCACCAGTTCATTTCCCACTGCTCCACTTCCCGTTCAGCTTGCTGCTTATTGTCTGGGAAAGTGACAGGATGGCTCAAGTGCTTTGGCCTCTGGACCCATGCAGCAAACAGAAAGAAGCTCCTGGCTTTAGCGCGGCCCAGACCTGGCCTTTGCAGTCATTTGGAAAGTAAACCAATAGATGGAAGTCTGTCTCTCCTCCCCTCTAACTCAGCCTTCCAAATACATAAATTCTTTCTCTGTCTCTCCTCTCTGCAAATCTGCCTTTCCAATAAAATTCTCAAATACACTTTTAAAAAATGTTAAACATGCACAATGCCAAGGCAGTGCACATTCTGGCATTCTTGCTAGGTCAAACCTAGTTCCAGAAACCTGCTTTTACCTTTGCCACAGCATCCATTAAATAAACGAGCCCTGTAATAAAATCCATATTTCAGCTTATGGCCACCTTTAAAGAGTGACCAAAATGGCCCTAAGACAACAGCACATCTGCAGGTCTCTCCTGGGGAGGAGGTCATGACCCAGAGAAACGCAAGGAAGCCAGCTTCGGACCAAAGCCACAACCTGGCTACACAGGCCCGCTCGCACCAGCCCCTGGTGCGGGAGCTCTGGGAGCTGGCCCCACAGTGTCCTGGGAGGTGCCCCCAGTCTGAGCTCTCCCCAGCACTGACAGGGTTGGGAGCAGGAACGAGTCAGGCTCAGCCAGGCCCTTGGATGTCAAAATCACCTGCCCATGAAAGGATGGATCCAGAGCTTCCGTGGGAGGAGCAGAGGGCTGAGGTCACAATGGGTCCAGTCCAAGTTCTCATTACTCCCCTCAACTGCATAACCCGGAACTCCCACCAAGTCCGAATGGCCCTTCCATTCCCGCAGCTCTGACTCTCTGGGTGACTTCTCAGCATCTAAATGGATTCGACTCTGGCTTGCAGTATTCCACAAGCTGCAGCTCAGGGGGCAAAGCCACGTGGCTGACTGGCGTTGAGCCTGGAGTTAGAACCCAGAGCCAGCCACAAGCTGTGGTAGTCTGGCTGGAAACAAGACTGACAGTGGGGGCCAGAAGCAGGCCCCCAGCTCAGGAGCGAAAGCAAACTTGGGCTGATTGGCAGCCATTCGGGTACCAAGAGGAGGGGCTTGGGAGGCAGAGCCAAGAGGTGAAAGTTGGACGGGGGGCCCAGCTCAGGAGCGCCCAGCTGAACCCCAAAGATGGCTGCAGCATCTCGGAGCCGCCGGGCCCGCCGGCCGCCCTCCCCTGGGCACATCGCAGTAGTGGTGGACCATGGCTCAGGTTTCGCCAAGGCGGGCTTCGCGGGCGAGAGCCAGCCGCGAGTCGTGCTCAAGAGTTCCAGCCTGGTACCCAGCTGGGACCGGCCCGTACGACCTGGCGCACCGGGCTGCGAGCTGGCGGGCGGCGTGGCGCGCGCACACCCAATCAAGCACGGCGTGATCGTGGACTGGGAGGCGCTGGAGGGGCTGTGGGAGCGCCTGCTGGTGGGCGGCCTGCACGTGTGCCCGGAGCAGTGGCCCATGCTGGTGAGCGATTCGCCGTCCGCGCCGCCAGCCGGCCGGGAGAAGGTGGCCGAGCTGCTGTTCGAGACCCTGGCAGTTCCTGCATGCCACGTGGCTAGCACGGCGCGGCTGGCCCTCTGCTCTGCCGGCGTGCTGAGTGGGCTGGCGGTAGAGGCGGGCGCAGGCGTGTGCAATGCCACACCCATCTATGCAGGCCACTCGTGGCAAGAGGCCACTTTCCGGCTGGACGTGGCCGGCAGCACCTTGTCCCGCTATCTGCGGAACATGCTGCTGGCGGCGTGCCCCGAACTGCGACCGCAGGCGCTGTCCCGCAAGGCGGTCACGCAGTTCAAGAAGCACTGCTGCTATGTGTCACTGGACTTCGAGGCGGATCTCCGTGACCCTAGCCGCCACTTCCCGGCCAGTTTCTGCATGGGCGATGGGTGTGCCCTCAGCCTGGGCAGCGAACGCTTCCGTTGCCCGGAACCCATCTTCCAGCCAAGTCTGCTGGGCCAGACTGAGCCAGGCCTGCCTACACTGGCCTTCCGGGCCCTGCAGAAACTGCCGGCCGCACTGCGAACACGGCTGGCTGACACAGTGGTGCTGGCTGGTGGTTCCACGCTATTCCCTGGCTTTGCTGAGCGCCTGGATTTGGAACTGGAGGCACAGTGCCGGCGACATGGCTATGGTGCCTTGAGGCCCCGCCTGGTGGCCAGGCCTGGACGTGGCACAGCCGTGTGGACAGGTGGCTCCATGGTGGCCTCCTTGCACTCCTTCCAACGCCGCTGGATGACCCAGGCCATGTACCAGGAATACGGCCCTGGACTGGTGCACGAGGTGTTCAACTGAGTGGAACTACGTGCAGGCGTCCTCCCAAGAAGGGGCACCATGGATGCTGGGCCGGCCATGCTACTGCTCCTCAGAGGCTTGACACTCCAGAGAATAAAGAATGGCAGTGTTTAGAGCTGCCAAGGTCGTCCTGTGGTGACAAGCCACTCTTCCCCTGTTGCGACAAGCGGCACCCTCCTGTGGACTTACAGGTTGACTCTGGTGCCCACTTCTGGTTCAAAGGACACCTGTCCAGCCACAGATCCCAGGACTCCATCTCCATGGCAACAAGGCCATGCCCTACCACTTGCATCCACCTCACAGATATGCAAGTCCCCTCCTCAGCGCACACACCCCTCACCACTGTGGCCTTGTGGACACCCAGCCCCTGCCAGCCTGCCCTGGGAGCAAACCTATGAAAGTGGACTATGCCTAGATTGCATGCAGCCCTGCCCCTAGCTGCCCACTCAGGCCATTCCACCTACAGAGCCTGAGCTTGCCCTTCATGGATTAGTGGGATGGGCTCTGCCCCACCTCCTCAGAGAAGCCGCTAAAGTCACCTACTCCTCCCCCCCCCCCCCGACCCACTCATATGGGCACCACCTGTTGGACACATGTGAACACTGCAGTCCCTGTCCAACCCCACCAGGCTGGGGTTGCTGGGAACACAGCAGACAACGCCCACAAAGGCCCTTGCCTTCACCCTGGCTCAATTGAGGCCTGAATCGCCTGGCTGAACCCCATGTGTGGTGGCTGATCACTGGTTCACAGACAAGAACACTGAGCCTAGAAACACGACAGACACAGCCCTAAGATGCCAGAGCCAGGATCTGAACGCAGGTTTCTAGCTCCCCAGCCCTGAGCCACACAGGGGAGACTTGTGGCACAGCACATACCCTGGCTTCACTCCGCCTCTAGCCACAGGCCCTTCCACTCACCAGCTTGGTGGTGTCCATGGCAGTGAGCACTGCGCGGTTCAGCGCCTCCAGTGCAGCCAGCACAGGCTGGTAGACTCCCAGATGTCCCGAGAAGTAGTCTGCAGGCAGAGGAGTTGCTCAGGGGTCTCCGGATCCACACCCCCCACCCATCCATCTGCCCAACCTGAAGTGTGGCTGCCAGGGATGGCTCAGTCACTGGGGAGATCAGGACATCTCCCTGCTGCCCAGGCTCCTAGGCACAAGAGCTGCCATGGGCCTACTCACCACACAGTTTCTCTGTTTCCAGGTTGCTGCAAGAACAAACAGAAGGCGCCCTTCAGACTCTGGCCCTGGGCCAATCCCAGTCCCTATTAGCTCCCCACTAGGCAGACAAGGATGTGACATCCCTTCCATCCCAGGCTGAGTTGGTCAGACTGCCCCAGCAAATGCTGAGGACAGACTCTGGGCCTCCGAGCGGGTCTCAGACCAAGGGAGACAGATGTGTACTTGGATCAGGGAACAGTGTTCAGAGCTGCCAAAGGCCAGCCAGAAGATGTGGGAGGCCAAAGAGAGGTTCTCGGAGGAGGTACAGCCTTGGCTGGGCCTTGAGAGATAAACCTGGGGAAGCCTGGTCGGTAAGTGAAGGGGAGCACTTCAAAGGCTGAAGTCCAACTCTCAGGAGCCTTGAATGTCGGCCCGGGCCTGGAATTTCTCCCAAGATCGGGGGAAGTGAAACGGAGGCCCAGCTGTGCCTGCGCGTGTGTCCAAATGAGAAAGCCCAGGAGGGGGCGCAGCTCGTGCTGAGCCATGTAGATGTGGGGGTGCCACAGGGAGGTGTGCGCACGCCTGTGCACCTGCAGCCCTGGCGGGGAGCAGGCAGGGCCCAGCTGTCCCCAGGCATCCTTTGGTGCCTGCAGGAAGGGGAGGAAGGGTGCTGAGCTACTGGGTGGTGACTCAGGCCTGGCTATTTTGGGGTCCCAGCTGGAGGCAGTATAGTGGGCAAGAATGGAGCGGGGGAGGGGGAGAAACATGGGCAATACTGGCACAGAGCCCTGGCATCTCTCCCTGGCTAGAAAGAACTGAGGCAACAGGGGACACAGCAGGGTGAGGACTTGGTCTTGGATCCACCCCGCTCTCTCCAGCCCAGTCCCCTCTCTCGTACTCACTCATTGGGGTGCCCATCAATGCCACTGAACAATTCCCACAGCTCCCCTGGGCTGAGGACACCATCGGCAAAGTAATTCTGGAATTCCTCAAACGAGAGCTTCCCGTCGTCTGCAGCAAGGGTGAGACACGGAGCAGTCAGTCTCCATGAGCCTGACCGCAGCCCTGCCCCTGGGGCCCAGCCCCCAGAGCGGGGATGGGACTCTGAGTAGGGGATAGGATAGTCTGGGGACAAATGGTCACAGCTCCCACAGATCCAGGGCCCATCTGCAAGAAGCCAAGGGACAGGGTACTTTGTGTATGGCTCTGGGTAGGCACGTAAGAAAGGCATGCCAAAGGAAGAACAGGAGAGCAGACAGCCTCGCTCCAGGCCCAGGACCTTCCACAGAGAAGCCCCGGGAAGGCAGGGGGAATCATCATTGGGGCCTGTTGGAAACGCCTGGCTGGCCAGGAGGCTGTAGAGCAGAGGCAGAGTACTCGCAGGGGATGACAAAGGAAATAGAATATCTGGTCTCTAGGTGTGCTAGTGCAGAATCCACATGCAGTCTGAGTCTTCCCCAGTGTGAGACACTGGTCTTGCTCAGCCTGAAGACACTCCAGGGGAGTGAGGTCAGGGCCCTGCCTGGAGGAGGCTGCAGCACAAGAGGGACCAAAGTCCACAAACAGCAGCAGATGCAGGCTTCCATGGGCCAGCAGGGTACCACAGGCCACACCCCCATCATCTGCTGCAGCACCTGTGCTTCAAGGGGGCCCCCTGGGCTGGCTCTGAGGCCACCCAGGACCCAGCTGCAACCGTCTAAGGCTTGGCTAACTTCAGGCCTTCTCTGGGCCTAGATGCAGGTCAGGTGGAAGCTGACGGAGCCCTCTGAAATCTGAGTTAAGTCCCCAACAAGGCCTTGTCTCCGTTTTCCAACCCCTCACACAGGGAATCTAGAACTCTGCATCACACGGAGGTGGGTTCCAGGCCCACCAGGAAAAGGTCCCTCCAATCCTCTGCTCCTTTGTGGCCTCAGATGAGGGATTCCCACCTCGCTGGTGGTTGTTAGGACAACAGGAGGTCATCTACTGAGAGTACCAGTCCCTGTGCCAGGCACTGTGTGAGCATTACCTCCACAGGCCTCCAGCTGTAGCCAAACCACACTTGCCTACTTCCTGCCACACCCAGCTAAGGCGGCATCTCCTCCAGAGAGGCTGCTGATCACTTCTCTGGCTTCAGATCCTCCCAGAGCTTGGCTCTATCCTCAACTGTGCCCCTACAAGCTTCCAGCTCCCCCAGGGTCTCCCTGAGACTCTCACCCTACCCAACTGAGGAATCCAGGGGAAGCCACACTCACCATTCTTGTCTGCTCTGCGGAACACCTGGAGAACAAATGGGCAGTCAGTGAGCTGTGAGTGGTGTCCCCACCCCACGCCCCTCTGCCCAGTCTAAGCCAGGCTCGCTGCTCAGCTCAGCCCTGCAGGAGCTGTGCCTGCTAGGGTCACACAGGAAGAGCACCCAGCAGGTCGCATCACTTGCTTACTTCCCCCGCAGGGCCTGGCCCACAGGGTAGGGGGAGCGGAGGGGAAGGGGTGCTCCAGGCTGGTTCCCTGCACACCTACGTCCCATAGTCTGACCCAATGTCCATCTGATGCATTGGACCTTGGCTAGGTCCGAGTTTGAGAAAGGCTGGGGAGATGGCCAAGATGCAGCCTAAGCAGCCTGGGCAGCTGTCCCAGACCTGAACCCCTAGCTCTGCTGTGTGGCCATGGTCTCTGCCAGTCACTGCCCTCTCTGGGCTGTTTCCTTGTGCTTCCTGAAGACTGCCATGCAGGCAGCAGCCAGTCCTGTCTTTGCCATGCCTTAGCTTGTCCACTAGCAAAGTATGGGGGATGAGGGAGCAGCCTGAGGTTAACCTTTTAGTTGTATCCTGATAGGAAAGCGGCAATGCACAGGGCATGTACAGGTGTTCCAGCAGGGAGCGAGGGGTGGATTTCATATATGAAACAGAGAAGGGCCCTACATACAAACAGTATAATCAAAACAGGTCTCAGGATCAGAGACTCCAGGTCCTCCCAGTGCAGCCCAGCACAGGGGGAACCAGCTGGCAGCACAAGAAGCCTGGACAAGAGGCCCTCCTGATGCATGTGTGTGGGGTCAGTGAAGCACAGGACGGAGCCCAAGCCCCGGCCTGCTCACAACAGCTCTGTCCCTGGCTCAGGGTCACATAGCAGTCCAGTGTGGCTTGGTCACCCTGGGAAGCTGTTGCTGTTGCAGGCAGGGGTGATAAGATGCAACAGACAGGCCACACCCTGTGATGTCCCTGTGTGCATGCATGATCAGGGACAGAGCCCTTCAGGCCTCAGTTTTCCAATCTGAGATGGGGGACAGTCAGGTCCCTGCCAGCCAGGAGGTCTGCAGCCAAGATGCTGAGTCACAGGGGCAGTGAGGAGGGGGCAGGAGTACTGCTTCTCCCCACCAGAGTGGGGGCAGGCAGCGAGTGAGAGGGACTCAGCCTGGGGGTGAAGAGTGTGGCTGAAGGCCAGCCAGGCTGCTCCACACTGCTGCCCAGGGGGACTCGGGCCACTCCTACAGCTGTAGGACTCTGGGGGTCAGGGTGAGACCTCCTCCTGCATCCTGGCACTTACACAGGACTGTGTGGGGAGGCTGCACCCACCCCCACACGGGACGGGTTGGGGGCTGCTGAGACAGGGACAAGGACGAACACAAGGCGGCCCAGATAAGACAGTCTGAAGGACCACAAGAGAACAGACCTGGAGGATGGGGGAACAGGGGCAAGGCCTCAAGGTAGTGGGAGAGACAGACAAACAAGCAGGGAGCCAGAGACTGGCAAGGGAAGACAAGAGACCCAGAGACCCCTCAAGCCAGCCCGAGCCCCACTCACGTCCTGGAAGAGAGCGTGTCCGGCGGGCCCAGCGTCTGCCGCGGGCGTTCGTGGGGCCCGGGCGGTGGGCGGCCGCAGCAGGCACACAGTGAGCAGCCCTGCGCACGCCATGGTGTCGCCAGCCGCTCGCCTCCGGCTGGGCTGCGCTCTGGCTCTGCCGGCGCTGGCCGCCAGCACCTCGGAGGGCGGCGGGCAGCAGCGCATTGGCGCCGCCGTGAGCCACGCCTCCAGCCACGCCCCCTCGCAAGGAGCCGAGACCCCCACCCTCCGCAAGCCCTGCCCCGGCCTCAGCTTCCCCCATTTACAAAGCCGGCGTCCTGGCTGCAGCATCCAAACCGCTCCATGTTCCTCTCGGGAGGGGTGGCCGCCATGGAGTCAGAAAGCCTACCCAGGGATGCCACCTCGCCCAGGTCTCTGGCCTCAGGACCCCAGCCAGCCTCAACACCATGCAACAGAGAGCTTTACAGGGTCTCAGGAAGTCCAGGCCTCAACTTTCCCCTTTGATGCCTACGAGCCCTCCATTTCAATATTCCTGCTGCACCACACCACTGGAGCTCCCAGGTCCCCTCCTCCCTCATACCGCGGGATTCCAGGTCAGCCAACCTAGTGTGCACCTCAGGTGAACTCCCATTCACCCCTGTTATCAATCCAAGCACAAACACCCCCCACTTCAGGAAGCTCTCCCAGATCTTTGCATTTATGCAAATCTCCATGAGCACCTGAGACCCCCCAATGGAAGGCATCTACACAGGAGAGTACCTGGCACCAACAGTTACAAGCCCAGAACATTCTGGAATAAGTTGCCCTGTGGGGCTAGGCAAAAGAGGCAAGTCCACTTATCACCTGAGGTGCTCCCATGGCACTTGGTCTTTCCCAGGACCAGACTCTTGACAGGGACCATTGCTGGGGTGAAGATGCCCACTTTGCTTGGGGTTATGAGGCTCAGAATGACTGGGGCAGGATGAAGGGGGGACACCAAGAACAGCACTTCCCACCCCCGAGACGTGCCCCCAGGCTGACCCTAAACCCAGCCCAAGCATCATCAAAATATTTATTAAAACCAAAGCAGGAGAGAGCAGAGCTGTTAGGAACAAATCAAAGTGCAGATTGGAGGGTGAGCCAGAGCAGCCAGCGGCCCAGGGAACATCCGAGACCACACAAGGGGTCCCTGCAGGCTGGGCCGGACAGGTACTTCACTCACCCCTCCTGCCCACCCTCAGAGAAGGCCCCCCACTCCCCTCTCCCAGCTATGACCATTCTGAGGGACGCCTGGGGACCTGCACCTGCTGGAGAGGAACCACCCCCTCTATCCACTCATGGCTGTCAGTCTGTCTGTCTCTCTCTCCCTCCTTTTCCCAATAAATAAACCACCCAGGCCTCAGTTCCTTCAGGTGGGGCATAAGACAGTTCAGGGCCCCCTGCCTCTGCTCAGCGGCAGTGGGTGGGGTCTGCAGTCCTGCCTCCCTCCACCCCGTGCTCATTCCCAGGCTGCCCAAGAGGCCTTGATAAATAAATAACGCTCCATTAAAGCTTCGGTCAGGAAACTCAGACAGAAGTGCTCTCGCTGTCCTGTACCCCCTGGCAGGCAAGGGCTCCTGCCTGGCCTGTGTGGCAAGGATGCTGGGGGCAGTGACCACCCTGGGCTTTGTGGGGCCCATGGAAAGAAGAGACCAAAAGTGCAGTTCAAGCCCCTTCACGCGCACAGGGACGCACGCATGCATGCGGACACACTGGGGTGCATCTGCAGTGCACACACCGACGTGTTCATCTTCATTCCCCGGTCCATGCACACGCACACTCGCACCACGCTCACCCCAGGTACCCATGTGAGGGGTAAGCGTGCACACACACACACCCCGCAAACACAGAATCACCCCTCCCTGGCAACAGCCAGATCCCAGAGCGAGAAGCCACTGGAGGCAGGAAAGGGGTATAAATTAACCATGTCCAAACAGGCTGGGAGGGCAGCCGGGGCAAGGGGCTCCAGCGCAGCGGGGACAGGGAGGCTTCTTGGAAGATGCCGCCCCTCAAGCCTCATCAGAAATCCAGCGGGGTGAGGTCCCCAAAGTCACAGTCAAAGAGGTCTCTAATGCCCTCCCCATCCTCAAGGCCAAAGTGGTAGTCGACGTTCTCGTGGGGCGGGGAGAGGCTGATGAACTCCTCAGGGAGGAGACTGCAGAAGTCCTCCCGCACGTGCTCCAGGAGCGAGTCGGCTGCCACCAGCGGGGACAGGCGGTCCTCGTCCATGGGCGCCCGGAGGCTACCCATCCGGGAGAGCAGCGGTTCTGGGGAGACAGGGGCATGTCACAGACCAGGGACACTGCAACAAGGAGTACAGGGGGCTGTCCCATGCTCACTCACGACAGGGTTCTGCCCCAGCTTGGCTACCCTGCACCCCTCACTTACCTTGCTCTAGGCTGAGAAGGGGCTGGCTGGAATCCATCGCAGGGGATGAGGGAGGAGATGATGATGGCGGCACCAAGGTGGCAGAGTTAGCCATCCTGTCCTCCTCCTCGGACACTGTCTCCTGAAATGGGGTCTTCTCAGGACTGGTCTCATCCACAGTCTCCTCAGGGCACAGGAAAACATCGATGGGACCTTGCTTGCTCTTCAGAGAGATCTGAAAGTTCTGGGCAGGAGCAGTAGGCCGGGTCAACAGAGGCCCAGCTAGTCAGCATTCCAACCCAGCCTGTCCTGCACTCACCTGGGCAGAGTCCACAGCCTGCAGCTGGGTCTCAGGAGGAGCCTTGATCACCATGACCATCTGCTCTGCAGGGTCCACGATGCTCCGAAGGTCCTGGCAGGTCACGTAGGCCAGGGTTGGAGGAGTCAAGGACTATATGACCACTAGCTTCTGGGGGCCCCTCATCCGGACAACTGAGGCAGGGGCTGATGGCTGCATGGCCTCGCCCATCCTCTCGACCCCCAACCCAGGGCCTGGTTCAACATCCCCTTCCCTGCCCTGAGCCCAGCTTCCACTCCTGTACAATGGAACTGGACCACTCAGCTTCTCCAATCCCTTGAGGATGATGGTGGTTGCCTGCAACAGTAATTCCAAGGAAAATGTTTAATGTAAATCTGGGCCTGGGATTGGCAACATCTTATCCCACAAGCTTTAAGGAAACATTAAAATCAATGTAATCACTTCTTGGCCTTTCCGGCTAAAGTCAAGTATAAACATTAATGCAAACCTGCCTGTGACCTTGAATCACTGCACTGTTAGGTACTAACTGTGGAGAATGGGACCTCACCCTTTACAGATGAAGTTCAACCCGGCTGACAGAGCATGTGTGCTGAGCCAGGGCCCCAACCACAACCCAGGTGGCCTCTCCAGTCCCACAAGCCACTCCAAGGATATCGCTGGCTGTCCGAGTCCTCGGATAGCATCCGCAGCTGGGTGGTGCAGAGGTGCATCAGGTGGTCCAACTCCCGCTCACTCTCCTGCAGCTGCTGCAGATCCTGGGTCAGCCCTTCCAGCTGTCCGCCGACGCCCACTGTGGTATGGCTGCCTCTGTGGAGACCAGGGTGGGTTCACAGACCCTCCTGGACCCAGCCTGCCTCTGCACATACTATGAGAACCAGTCAAACCTGTGGCCCTCTCCGGGACCGGCTCCTCAGCTGGCTAAGGCTTCACAGCCCAGTCTCAAAGGCTACAAAAGGGGCAGGATAAACAGATGACTCCCCCACCTCCAGTTCCACGCCCATGAATCATAACACATACAGAAAGACGAGAACGCATCAGATGAACACAGGATAGGCTGTTAAGTGAAAACAGGGGAAATGGCGCAGAATGGGATAATACACCACACACTGAAAAAGAAAGTCAAAGACAGTGTAGCAGATGCCCGGAGAAAGAGGCAAGACAGAAATGAAAACAGACACAAACAAGCCCAGCATGGTTAGCCTAATAGCTAAAGTCCTTGCCTAGCACACGCTAGGATTCCACGAAGGCACCAGTTCATGTCCTGGCTGCCCCACTTCTCTTCCAGGTTCCTGCCTGTGGTCTGGGAAAGCAACTAGCGCAGCCCATACCTTGAGACCCTTGCACCAGGGTGGGTCTCCCGGCTCCAGATCAGCTCAATCCAGTCGTTGAGGCTACTTGGGGAGTGAAACAGCGGATGGAGGATCCTTCTGCCATGACAGCTTAGTGGCTACCCATATGGATGCCGGTTCATATGCCGTCCACTTCACTTCTCATCTAGCTCCCTGCTTGTGGCCTGGGAAAGCAGTCAAGGATAGCTCAAAGCCTTGGGACCTGGCACACACAAAGGAGACCAAGAAGAGGCTCCAGGCTCCTGGCTCCAAATCAGCTGAACTCAGGCTGTTGCGGCCACTTGCAGTGAATCAACAGATGGAAGATTTGTCTCTCCTCCTTTCTGTATAATTGTCTTTCAAACTTTTTTAAAAAAGTATTATTTTCGTGTGTGTGCTTTTTTCTATCTAAATAACAAGTTTTTGGGGGGCCTGGTGCAATAGCATAGAGGTTAAAGTCCTTGCCTTGAACACACCAGGATCCCATATGGGCACCGGTTCTAATCTTGGCAGCCCTAATTCCCATCCAGCTGCCTGCTTGTGGCCTGGGAAAGCAGTCGAGGATGGCCCAAAGCCTTGGGACCCTTGTGACACATGGAAGAGGCTCTGGGGTCCTGGCTTCAGATCAGCTCAGCCCGGTGCTTGGGGAGTGAACTAGTGGACGGAAGATCTTCCTCTCTGTCTCTCCTCCTCCTCTGTGTATATCTGACTTTCCAATAAAATTTTTTTAAAAAATTTCTTTTGTGTGTGTGTGTGTAAATTTTAAAGCGGAGCAGGTGGGATATAAACTGGTACCCAAATGCGATGCCCACACTTTTTACTGGAAAGGCAGATTTACACAGAGGACAGAGACAGTTTTTCTGTCTGCTGGTTAATTCCTAAGTGGCCACAATGCCATTGTTAAGCCAATCTGATCCAAAGCCAGGAGCCCGGAGCCCCTCCAGATCTCCCACATGGGTGCAGAGTCCCAAGGCTTTGGGTCATCCTTGATTGCTTTCCCAGGCCACAAGCAGGGAGCTGGATGGGAAGTGGAGCTGCAGGAATTAGAACCGGCACCCATATGGGATCCCGGCACATGCAAGGCAAAGACTGCTCACTAGGCTATCGCACCAGGCCGCAGATAAATCATTTGTAAATTAACACAAAAAGAGCAAGAGTGGGGTTATCACTGCGGCACAGCAAGTTAAACCTCTGCTGCAACACCGGCATCCCAAACAGGCACCAACTGAAGACCTGGCTGCCCCACTTCTGATCCAGCTCCTTAGTAATACATGTGGGAAAACCTAGTCCTTGGCCCCTGCACCTATGTGGCAGAACAGGAAGAAGCTTTTTTTTTTTTAAAGATTTATTTGATTTTCTTGGAAAGGCAGATACACAGAGAGGAGGAGAGACAAAGAGGAAGATCTTCTGTCCAATGGTTCACTACCCAGTGGCCTCTATGGCTGGAGCTGAGCCAACCCAAAGCCAGGAGCCTCTTCCTCCAGGTCTCCCACACAGATGCTGGATCCCAAGGCTTTGGGCTGGCCTCGACTGCTTTCCCAGGCCACAGGCAGGGAGCTGGATGGGAAGAGGAACAGCTGGGATTAGAACCGGTGCCCATATGGGATCCTGGTGTGTTCAAGGCGAGGACTTTAGCCACTAGGCCATTAAGCCAGACCCCAGGAAGAAGCTTTGAGCTTCTGGCTTCAGCCTGATCAAGTCCAGCAACTGTATCCATTTGGGTGGTAAATCAGCAGATGGAAGATTCTCTGCTTCTCTTCCTCTCTCTGAGCTCTGCCTTTCAAATAAACAAATATTTTTTTTTTCCCTAAAGGAATACGAGTGAAAAATGTCTCCTCAATGGCAACCGAAATTAAATACTGGTGACCTAGCAAAAGGTGGAATGGCAAGTCTGAGAAGGGGCATGAGGGATCTTACAGCTGTTCTTTATCCTGTCTCGGACGGTGGGCACCCAGGTGGACAGTATGCAGAGCTGCCTGGCACAGGCTCGCAGGCTGTGGGCGCTCTGCAGCTCCGTCCCCTCAGGGAAGCCATCTCCACTCTCGGAGCCTCACTGTAAGAGGAAGGTGCAGCCAGCCATGGTGGGAACTGCTACCAGCTCCTCTGGGTTCTGCCTGGCACCAAGTCTCTGCCTGCCCCCAGCTGGACTGGTACCTACAGCCACTGAATGTGGTTCTTGGACTTCTTGGCAATGAGGTGGATGCCCTCAAGGACGTTGGTGATGTCATAGATGCGCCGTTTCTGCACCTTCAGCACCTCGGCTGCCCAGTTCAGGTCAACAACACCATCAGCTGAGCGGCTCAGCAGCTCCAGGAAGCGTTTGGTGGTCAGGTTCAGTGAGGTCTCATAGCGTGACTTCTCCCCGGGGGATTTCACACCTGGGGAATCAGGCAAGGGTCCTGAGCACCCAGCTACACACCCCCAGCTTGGCAGCAGAGCAGGGAGTAGCCCAGATGGTCCATGTCCCTCAGCAAGGCCAGGCAGGGAGGCCGGGGGGCTGCTGCCCATCACAGCATTTCTCTTCAGGCCAGGGAACTCCCCATCCCCCCAGATCTGAAGAACATCATGCCAACTGGCCACTCCAGCTGTCCCTCTGGGTCCCCCAAGACTAGCTCAGGTCCAGACATGACCAAACTTCAGTTTGCAAGTAAGTTTGTCCACACCCTCACCCTTGGCCTGGGCACAAACTGTGTGGGTACCTTTCCCAGGGTGACGGCCCCTGCCCCGGACAGGCCCACTGCTCTCAGCCAGGTACTGATGGTCAGTTTCCAGGTCTAGTCTCCGCTTCACCTGTAGCAAAAACAGTGAGAGGATGCCCAGTAACCAGGAGTGAGGCCAAGGAGACTCAGTGCCTGCTTCAGCTCCTCTACCTAGACGCCTAAGTGCGGGAAAGCCCAGGGACCCAGCTGGGGTCACAGTCCTACCACAGCACAGACACCCAGTGGAAGGCAGAAGACCTGAGTCAAAGTCTCAGCTCCACAATTGTACAGCTGGGGCTCATAATCAAGCTGCAACAACAGACTCTGAGGCAGAAGTGTGCAGCTGGGTGTCCCCAGTTCCTGACCCACAAAGCCATGTCATCAACGCTCTTTGCTTTAAGTCACAGAGTACACAGGTGTTTGGGGCAAGTCACCTCTTCTCTGCCTTTTGAGGAATCAGAGCACCTGCTGCCCACAAATGCTTGGCATGCATGAGTCCTTTCCAACCTGTCGACTGGCAACACAAAGGCCCCACTGAAGCTCAAGCGTAGACCCAAGCTCTCCTCCCCAAGCTTCAGCGTTTTCTGACCTGGAACCTCACTCAGTCTCTACTGACTCTTTCACCACATGCAGCCACCGAGAGCGCATCCCTACAGCCCCCATCTGGACGGTCACACACACATGCTGGTGACCTTCATCCATCTGCTAGTCCTCCACAGCTCACCATGTCACGGCACTGCTCAGGAGCCATCCCTGGCAACGGAGGTCTTGGACGCTCACCTGCCACTGCTTCTGCATGTGAACTTCGGAAGACTGGTTCTGTCAGGCTCTGTGCCCTCCAACTTCTGCTCCCCGGGCTGTCTCTGCCCCTACACCTGCTGCTTCCCCCTTGGTGGACATGCGCCCTCAGGCAGTGGCTGCTGGGTGAACCTGCCCCAGGCTGGCCAGTCCCGCACTGCTCTCTATCACTGACTCCCTCAGGTGCAGAGAAAACAGAGAACTAATAAGGGCCAAGTATGGAATGTACTGAGTGCTACAGAAGTAACATGTTTCACTCCCTCCAGCCCTGCAGGAGCCAGTGATGCAATGGCCTCCATCTCAGAAGTCAGCCAGAAGAGGAGCCGGCCCCTACCAGCCAGTGGTGAACCCCAGCCTCACCCTTAAGTCTTGAGCCCTTACCCGTTCCCACCAACTGCAACCCTCAACTTCTTACTAGTGCTCCCCTGAAAAAAAAAAAAACACCAAGGGGCTCAGGTGCATGCCCATTGTTGGCACCATCCAGATAAACCTCAGGCCCAGAAGCCAGAGGCGAAAATCTTCCCTGGTAAGAAATCTGCATGCCTCAGAAGGGTCTTCACCCTGGCGGGTTACTAAGCACTTGGACCTGTCCACAGCTGTCAAGTGAGGCATTCGGCACAGCATCCTCCCAGTGCATGTGCGTCTGTTTTGGATTAAGCAGCTCAAAGCTATTCTCCAGTTCAGTTCTCGCACAGGAAGCATCTCAGCGGCGACCTCCATATGGGAAAACCACGGAGATGGTTGTCTTATGTGTGCAGTGTGAACAGGCACTGTTTGACATAGAAATTTAAAAAAAGAATTTTTTTTTAAACTTTAAAAATTGAAAGCTGTCACAACCATCCTAAAATAAAACCAACTTCCAAGAGAGGGAAAACACAACAGAAGAGAAATGGAGGCAGTTGGATCTTCCCTCAACTTTCTAGTTTATCTCTTGGAAGTTTTCTATGATAAATATGTATTGTTTGTTTGGTGGCTGCTGACAGTGGGGTGTGGGCAGACAGGCGGAGCTGGGGGAGCAGCAGGACTGTATACAATCTTGTATAGAGCAAGTTCTCAACAAATGGTCATAGGTGTGGAAGCCAAGCCTGTAGCTTACTGCAAAGGACATTCCCCCCTCAAAATGGCACTGAAGTAGAGGAAAAAAGCTGGCCACATGGGCTGCTGCTCTGGCATAGCTGGTTAATCCCAAGCCGGCTGCACCAGCATCCCATATGGACGCCAGTTCGAGTCTCCCAGCTGCTCCTGGAGAGGCATATTGGAGGATGGCCCAACTCCTTGGGACCCTCAGGGAAGACCCCAAAAGAAGCTCCTGGCTTCTAACGTGCCCAACTCTGGCCATTACAGCCATTTGGGGAATGAACCAGAGAATAAAGACCTCTGTCTTTCCTTCTCTTTGTAATTCCATCTTTTAAATTAAAAAACAAAAAACTTAGACCCTGTCTGTGCCAGTCCCCTAACCTCACTCACCGATGCCAGAGAACACCTACTGTCACTAGGACCTGGAAGGGCAGGGGCTCCACGGTGGCCTGTGCCCAACACCTCCTGGACACTCACAACTCAACTGCTGAGGAACTACACGTGCAGGCTCCTGACACTCCTGGAAGGGGGTAGAGTGCATTTTTCCTTGCCCCAGGCCTTCCCTCTGAGCCCTGTGCCCACAACCCTGGACCACAAACTCAATCCCTACAGGCTGTTAGGTCTCTGGATACAAGGCCTTGTCATCTGCCCAGACCCCAGGCTGGTACCAGCAGGGACAGGCCCCTGAGACACAGGAGACACGCCAGGTGACCCACCCCCAGTACCTTCCTGGGCTTTCTTCACCCTGTTAGGATGGCCAGGTCAGCTGGTCAGACACGGGAACGGACTCTGCCGCAAACTGAAGGCCTGGGGAAGGTCCTAGCATCTCTAGGCCTCAGCTTCCCTGTCTGCAAAAAGGGAAGGTCGCTGACAGGGTGAAACGAGTTAATTGGGTAAAGTGCTTGGCACAGCGCCTGGCACACAAAAACATCCTCCAAACAACGGCGGCTGCTATTGCTATTGTTATTATTATTAGCATCTTGGTGATTCCGGAAGGAAGGCAGCACTGGGCACCGTGCCAAGGGGGTTGAGGGGCTTTCTCAGGCCGCCGCCTCGGGGACCAGCTGCCACCCACACTCCCAGCAGCCGAGAGCAGCTTCTGACTCCCTGTCCTGGTGCCCCCCCACTGTTCCAAGCCCACTGCTGAGACCCCATCCAGCCTGGCCAGCCCCTGCCTGCCCGCCCGCCCACTGGCCGGCCCCACCTTCACCCACAGGCTGCTGTGCCAGTTAGACTGGTCCCCACACCCTGTCCTGCGGCCCACGGCCCACGGGTCCAGGCTCCAGACCTCCACTCCCTTCTCCCACTAGAATTCATCCCATTTCTATAGGCCCCCCTACCCCCACGCAGACACAGCCTGAATTAGGGCCGTCAGGGAGGACTTAAGCAAGGGACCTCCCTGCTCGGCGTCCTTTTCCCCCCACAGCTCCTGGAGGCTCAGGGGTCGGCCTGCCTGATTAATGAGGCTCCATGGCAACCAGGGCCTGGGCGAGTGGAGGGTGGCAGATGGAAGGACAGGCAGCGGGAGGGGATCAGCAGCTGGCCCTGCCACCCCGCCCCTACGGAGAAGGCCTGTCCCCAGAGGCCTGTAAGGCCAGGCCTGCACCTGGCAGTTAAACCGAGAAGGCAGAAAGTTCTCCTCCATGCTTCTCTCCAAAAGTCAAACCCCCAAAATTTCCTCAGCTCCCCAAGCAGCCGTGCCATCATCCTGTCCCCAATCCAGCCAGGTCCTAGGTTCCAATTCCAGCCCGACCACCTGTAGGCGAGTGACCCAAAAAGCACTCCCCCTCCTTTCTGGATTCCCCAAGCTCGCAACGGAGTTGTGGGTTTCAGCTGCTTTCAAACATGCCAAAGGCCTTGTATGCTGTAAGCGTAGGCTGAGTACACGTGGGCTATTATTATCGCCCAGTCCGACGCTCCAGCCGCTGCTGCAGGGAGGAAGCCGAGGCCCGAAGCCCAGAGGAGCCAACAGGGACCCGCCCGAGGTCACCACGCACCCCGGGGCGGAGCCCGGAGGCCCAACCCAGGCGCCTCAGTCCACCCCTCCCCCGCCCCACTTTCCCCGGTCGCCAGCGAGCCAAACACCGCGCCCGCCCCGGGGTCTGGCAGCGCGTTCGGCCCGGCGTCCCTGTAGTCCGTACCGGCGGGCGACCGAGCGCCGGACGTGGTGCGCTGGGTGCGGGCCGGGGCGCCTGCGGCGTGGCGAACAGCAGCAGGTCGGGGTCGTGGGGGCCCGCGGCCGGCGCGGCTGGGCCCACAGGGGCCGGCGGGGCGCTGGCGTCCTGCGCCGCCGAGATGATGACGATCTGTGAGGAGTCCAGCAGCCGCAACGCGCCGGCCCCGAGCAAGGCCTCCAGCGCCGGCGCGCACGGGCCACCCGCGGGGGCCACGGCCATGGCTCTCACGGCCCGCGCGGCCCAGGTGGCAGGCGGCGGCGGCGACGCCGACCCATGGCGACAGGCCCCAGCGAGGGCTCGATCCCGCTCCGCCCCCGGTCACCGCTGCCTGCAAAGTCCCGGCCACTTTTACGCGCCAAATCCTTTTTGCCGCGAAAGAGCCACGAGCCGCCGAAAGCCGTCCCCATTGGCTGTCCGCGACGTGACGAGCGCGGCGGCGGTGGCGCCCATTGGCTGCAGCACGCTGGACCGGCGGTGAAGGGCGGGACGGGGCGGCGGCGCGAGGCGGCGTGGCCAATAGCGGGGCGGGGCGCGCGCAGGCTTTGTCGGGGAGGTGCCGGGCGCCTTGGCGTTCCCCGCCCGCAGCCTGGGCTGGAGACCTGGGGACCGGGACCCCGCCCCGCAGCGGCACACCCCACTCTGCCGATTCCTCTTTCGTGGGACCGGCCGAGCCTCGGTTCTGCACATCTTCCTGTCTGCAGATCCCTGGTGACCCTCCACGACCCTTTACACCCTCAGCTCGAGCCCTCAGGCTGCTTTCCGGAGCCGCAGCCACATCTCACATCCTCGAGGAGCCCTACCTATGCCACCTCCGCAACCCCTGCGCCCCGCCCCGCCCCGAAAGAGCATCCTCGGGGTGGGGTAGGGGTCGGGTTCCCCGTCCTTCCCTGAGTCCCTGGCTGACGATGAAAGGCACTCCACGTGAGACCCCCATAAAGGGAGGAGGTGAGGCTTTCCTGCGTGAAGAAGCATGTAAGTCATCAGCACTTTTCATTGCTCAGGTCAGCCTGTTTGGCTAATGTGGTTCTCTCTGTGCCAGGCCTGGTGCCAGTGCAGGCAGGGGACAGAAGTGTGAAAGGCTTCATAAAGTCTGTAAGCTTGCCTGCTGGCAGGTGAGTGACTCACAAGAAAAAAAAAAAAAAAGGAGCTAGGACCCCAAGAAAAATCAAATGTCACTTCTTCCAGGGAGCCCCTGGAATCAGTCACTTAAAAAAAAAAAAAAGATTTATTTTTATCAGAAAGTCAGATATGCAGAGAGGAAGAAAGACAGAGGAAGATCTTCTGTCCACTGATTCACTCCCCAAGTGGCCACAATGGCCAGTGCTGCACCAATCTGAGCCTGGAGCTGCTTCCAGGTCTCGCACAAAGGTGCAGGGTCCCAAGGCTTTGGATCATCCTTGACTGCTTTCCCAGGCCACAAGCAGGGAGCTAGATGGGAAGTGGAGCAGCCGGAACTCCAAGCAGCAGCCTTATGGGATGCTGGCACCACAGGGTGGAGGATTAACCTATTGACTGGCCCCCAGGGTCCTGTATTTTAACAAATACTGCCCTCCCCCATACACACACACTCATTCCAAGGGCAAGGGTGTTTGCTTGTGCTTACAAGTGAGAACAATTTGTTAACCTGTTTTACCAAAGTGTGTGGTGTGGCAGAGCTCCTGAGGTTGTTTCTAGGCCTTGGTTTTTTGTGAACCAGTCACACAAACCAACGAGGCCTTTGTAGGGCTCTCCCATGAGAATGAAGGGAATAAAGGATGGGGTGGTTGATAAAAGCAGCAAGCATTTCTCTTTCCCTTGGACAAGCAGTTGATGAAACACTCATTGCCAATTTTAGAATGTGTCATCGCTTGGAAGGGATCACAGAGGCTGTGTAAGTTGCTTGCCATGTGGATGGGAAAATGAGACCCACTCAGAGGAAGATACTGGTGATGCCAGTCAGAGATAGACTGGCCTCTGCTGGGTTCACTGCTGAGCGTCTGCCTGTCCCATTGGCTGCTGTCCCCCAGGTTCAACCCATACAGAAGGTGAGGGGGCGATCTCATTTGAAACAGCCAAGCCAAATAGGAATAGCATTGAAAGCTGCTGCTTTCCCATTCAGAGGAAAAGCCTTGCCTAAATCCCAAAGGGTCCCAAAATCAAGACTTTTTTTTTTAACAGATTTGTTTATTTATTGATTGATTTGAGTGACAGGCAGAGAACCACAGAGAGATCTTCCATCCACTGGTTCACTCTCCAAGGCTGCACCAGGCCAAAGCCAGGAGCCAGGAGCTCCATCCAGTCTCCCACGAGAGTGGCAGGACTGAAGTACTTAAGCCGTCATCTTCATCCCAGCTGCATGGGGAAGCTGGATGGATGGGAAGCAGAGTAACAGAGCCTCAAACCAGACCCTCCAATAGAGATGTGGCTATCCTACAAATTAAACTGTTATGCCACAACACCTGCCTCAATCCTAAACACTTCTGTAAAACCCAGTAGTCATTCGACCAATACTTGGGAAGCACCTGTTACACATCCAGTAGCATGCCAGTTGCTGGAGAGGAGAGATTTTTTCCATCTGGTTTGAGGATGAAAAAATCATGAACTTAACCTAGTAGATGAGAAGGCCTGGTAAGGCCAAGGCCAGGGACTTTTCAAAGGCCTGCCTTCCCCCACACTACTGAGGTACACACCCAAGGGAGAAGTAAGTGTTCTCCTTCCCACAATCCCTTGCTGCAGTAGCAGCAAGGAGTGAAGACCTTAATTCCCAACATGCAGCCAAGGAGGAGATAAGAGCTTTCTGGATCTATTAATACCCTCTTGAAAGTAAAGAAGCCTGATGGACAGGGTCCCTTGGCCCTGAGCCTGGCAGATCCTGATAAGACTGTCCACAATGTCAACAGTCCTCCTTAGGCTGATAGGCTTCCAAGGCACAATCACTGGGCAGCCTCTTCTACTGTCTCCTTTCAGCCCGATAATCCTGTGAATAAAGCTTGTGTATCCACATGATACAAGCAGGGGGAGGCTCAGAGAGGAGTGCCCAGAACTCAAGGTCACACAGCACCATGGAGATGGGAACAGCTCTACTGCAAAACCCAGGGCCTGCATTCCTCCTACTTGCGTGCAGGAGCCTGGCTCAGGGCTGTCAGGGCCGCTGAAGGGTAGTTTCCAAAGGGAGAGATGGCTTAGGGAGAGGTACCTCTAGACGGTACCACCTCTGACCTCCATCTGCCACTCCCTCTCATGGTACAAAGGACTGGAAGCTCCTGGGCTCAGGATCCCTTACCTGGAGGCAGCTTTTCCCTGGTTCTTCCTGACAGGCAACAGGGAAGCTTGGGCTTCTAAGGCACCTGGGTACAGAGCAGCCAGGACATGAACCAGTGGCTATATAATGATGCCAACTCCTACTATACCATGACAGCAGTCCCAGTAATCTTGGTCTGTGTGGCCGTGGACAAGTGGATTGGCTTCTTTGAAAGTCTCAGTCCTTCCATCCACAGACGTGTATCGAGTACCTAGTATGTGTCTAGTGGCAGGGGAAATAGTTATAAGCAAAATAGACCCATCTGTGACACCCGTAGCTCCCAGTCCAGTGGGAAAGGAAAGAATTACTTCTATGTACCTGTATAATATGCTCATTAAGCAGTCTGGCAAATGACACAAATCATTAAAAATTGTTTATTCCACATATAGCATCTCCGCTAACCATACACTCTTAGCTTCAAAGAAAAATGCTCCCGACATGAATATTTCTTCATTATGAGGAATGCATAATTGGGAGAAATTATGCTGTGCTGACTTAATTATATTAAGGGGCACAGAGATGCCCATTGTTCAGGGCTGGCAGGGGGAGGTGGGCAGTTTTGCATCTGCAACCCTTCATTCCTCTTGAATGAGTCCTCAATGCTACAATGATGGACGGTTTACGGTCCCTGGAGATGTTCTGTCACAATGCCAGGTCTCACTCTTTGAGAGGGGCATCTTTTGGGTCAAGCAGACCCCAACCCCTCAGCTTCCTGGCTCTAGGATCTAAAGTGACTGACCGGATTGAGGGGAGGGTTGCCTCATCTGAAGATTAAGTAGGAATGGTTCTTTTCTTTTCTTTTCTTTTCTTTTCTTTTTTTTTTTTTTTAAGATTTACTCTTATTTTTATTTGAAGGGCAGAGTTTCAAAGAGGAAAGAGAGAAAGAAATCTTCCATCTGCTGGTTCATTCCCCAAATGGCCGCAATGGCTGGAGCTGAGCCAGTCTGAAGTCAGAAGCCAGGAACTTCTTCTGGGTCTCTCATGTGGGCACAGGTGCCCAAGAACTTGAGTCATTCTCTATTCTCTACTGCCTTCCCAGGTCATAAGCAGGGAGCTAGATTGGAAGTGGATTAACCAGGACATGAACCAGTAGCTATATATGATGCCAATTCCTACTATACCACGGCACCAGTCCCAGTTCTTTGGTTTCTTAAATACATCTTTTTTTTAAAAAAAATAACATTTTACTATATTTAATTATACTTGTATTCATATCTGTCTTATTTTATTTTTGATGATGTTTACATAGTTAATCAGGGTGGGAAGAATCAGGGTTAGGGAAAAGTGGGTGTGATCATTGTTTCCACATTTTTCATTTCTTCCTCTTTCTGGGGGAAGGGAAGAGATAAGAGGAGGAGCCATACCCAGCCTCCCAGTCACCCTAATAGCTAGGGGTGGGGTATGACCACTCAGTGTCAACCCAGGGTCCCAATGTGGCGCAGGCTCTGAGGGTTCTGCCCGGGTGCTTTTTATAGTTCTAAAATGCTCTCAATCTCACCTGTCTAAAGATAGGAATATCTTCCAAAAGGAGAGAAACAGAGGCAAGATCTTTCATCTTCTGATTCACTCCCTGAATGACCATAATGGCCAGGGCTGGGCCAGGCAAAAATCAAGAGCCAGGAACCAAAGTATTTGTATCATCATCCACTGCCTCACCAAGTATGTCAGGACACAGAATCAGAAAGACAAGGTCCCAGGCACTCATATATAGCAGGCAGGCTTCCTAAGTGACAGCTCAACCCACTGTGCCATGAGACCCACCTTCCTGACTTGCTGAATTTCTTTTTAACTTCTATTTCTTTTTAAGATTTATGTTTTCTTTAAAGATTTATTTATTTTTATTGGAAAGGCAGATATATATAGAGAAGAGGAGAAACAGAGAGGAAGGTCTTCCATCCGGATTCACTCCCCAAGTGACTGCAACAGGTGGAACTACGCCCATCCGAAGCCAGGAGCCAGGAACTTCCTCCAGATCTCCCACACGAGTGCAGGGTGCCAAGATTTTGGGCCATCCTTGACTGCTTTCCCAG